GAAGTGATAACACAATAGACGACAAACTAGCTGAATCCTTTCAGACACTCAACGAAAGTGTCCATGTTGTTTGGTTCGCTGACTCGATGAAAGATGACCAACCTAAAAAATTCTCTGTAGTACCAAAGAAGACTACATTAATAAAAATCGAATATAAAAAGGATATCTCATCAAGAATCCTTAAAAAGGCTTTCGATGTCTTTTAGTAAAGCATTTCCCCTTGTGTTTCTGAGTGTCTCCTCCAGTCAGATTCTAATTTGTGATCGTCTTAATGAAAAGCTTACTCTTTGAGCCATATTGACGTATCAATAAATTTACGTGTTTTCGGAGTGCAGGTTACATCGGGCACACAAAGCGATCTTTTCCTTTGCATATTTCTTGATGCATATGTATATTACTGTTACTTAAAATTGATGCTAATAAAATGTAAGAAAAAAAGGCTTTTGATCGGTTTAGGTTGTCGCAGACTAAACTATGATGCCATTGATTTGCTTCTGGACAAACTTAGTATTTGATCTTCTAGATGATGTTTAATCTTATGGGACTCTAATACGCTTACTGTATACTGAAAAAATCTAAGGGACAGCGTTGTTAAATAAGTCATCCAAGTAAAACCGAACCAATACTGACATCACATCTGTTTTCATTTAGCGCGCAAAGCAAAAGATAAGTCAGTCAGTCAGTCAGCTGCAACGTAGGACCAGACACATATATGCATCGGTCCAAGTTGCCATACCGCATTAGCATAACAAGATGAACACCGGATTCATAGAAGTAGTTAATTCCGAGTATACACCTACACTATTGTAATCGATTCTGAACCATGTCAGCACAGAGTCACCAACCATGGGTTACGACAATCACGCGGACACCAACCAAGTAGTCTGCATCTACCAACATGGGTGAGAGTAGAAGTTAGAGACTTTGTGAACTTATGCCATATTTTGGTTTGGCCGCCTCTAACCTTCTAACCATCCCCAACACCGGTTAGCAGTGCGCGTCTTGGTAATCGGTGTTCAGACATACAAGACACATGGCTCAACTATCTTAATCGATAAAGATTCACAACCTCATCAACTGATTTACCATCATTCCCTAATACCCAGCGTTTAACCTCACTATTACTTACCCGGTGATCCCAACAGATATGAGCAATATTTTTAAGGCACCTGTGGTCAAACACTAGTAACTTACGAGTATCTTTTACTCTTAAAGGCCATGTTTCGCAGCCATATAGTAGAACGGAACGAACTGCCGCGCAGTATACTCGTACCTTAATTGATAGACGGATATCTCGCCTTCGCCGTGAGTGACGTAAGTTGGCGAAAGCCAAACGAGATTTTCGAATCCGTGCTGAGATTTCGTCAGACACCAACCCATTAGGGCTGATCAGACTTCCAAGATAAGTGAAGTTGTCAACGCGTTCGACCACTTCACTCCCTATCCTTAGCTCAAGTGTTGACGCAGACCAGTCCTGATACAACAACTTGCATTTGGAGGGAGAGAAGCGCAAAGAAAGACAAGGCGTAATACAGATCAGGCATCATGGTTGCTAGACCTTATATTGACTTATCATGAGTCAGATGCCCTTACCTTCGAGTATGTGTCAACACACTGTAAGAGCTCTCGAACAATATTGTTCTATACTTTTCAGATGGCTGACATTAATGACATGTCTAAACCAGCCAGACTAAACGTAGGGAAAACAGATATTCAAAAGGTTATACATGCATCACCACCAATAGATCTGTCTATCAAAACATAAATCCCTATAGACGATGCATGGAGGGTGTTTAACAATGTACATAACAATTACTCAGCAGTTTGTAGGCTAAGAAGAAGCCCATCATGATACGACAAACCAATACTAGCCTTTCTTAGAGTAACTAGGTACTAATCAAGACAGAACTAAGTACCCATAAATTAGAAATATTCGCATATCAGCCCTACGAAAGTTTAGAAAACTCTATGAAGAAAAACGTATTACTGACTCCACAGATCATTTTCATAAATAAACAGAAGAATGATTCGGGGCTTGATATCCAAGCGTTGTATGAGGAAAGTTCTACATCATCACTAGTGAAAGACGTCATCGAATCCAAAGTATTTTCGGACTTTTAACGAGATACACACGCCGTAGACTCTGCTCAAAGCATTGGTCAAATAGTTTAAGCTGCCATATGAGTACAACTACCATTTAAGAACTAAAAAGTAAACCGATAGACAGCAAGTCCTTTGTAGCAAAACGTTCGAAGTTACTAATATCTTACTATTTTTTTAGTATCACAGCGAAGCTGGTTTAACCCAAAAAATTCTAAGTACCCAACATACACAGCTTGTCACCTCGCCTTTTGACGAAGTCCCATATAAAAAACTGGCATATAAGTTTAACAATATCGAAATCAAAAGAAATTTACTGTGAGTAAACGACTTCCAACTTAAACATAAACAAAGGGTACTACAAGGTGTCTGACTATGAAATAGTATATAGAGACGTCAACCAGGGTATATTTCTAAAACCAGTGTCATTTCTTTTATAAGCATACGAACATTTTAGTCTTCTGTCATCATCTACCTTGTTATGTCAGAAGATAATCTAAACAACAAAATATCGACCAAACGATGAAAATACTATTTTTTACTGTCACTGCTCGCCGAGAACATAGGGTTCTAGTTAGTAAAGGGCTGCCAGTTACTCAAACATAACAAATAAATCAATCTATAAGATGTCAATCAGATAAACCGAAATCAAAACTGTAAACGAGTTTTTCATTAGTAACGAATAAGACTGTTATCATTATAATGAACATTTACATATACAATAAAAGCTAATCTCTTATATGATCTAAAATAATATTGTTTGCAGATCTGCCACCAATACATATGTTAAATTTTATTTATAAACTAGTGCACACTAAAATAGTGTTTAGTTTTTAATGAAATATTTTGGCATTAATTGGTTGACACTCAATAACGCTATTCAAGACATGCTATGTACTTTGATTTTTAAAAAAAACAGGACCCAAAGCAAGCCAAAAATTTGAGTTCTAAAAATTAAAGATTTTCATTATATAAAGATAATTCTATAATTAAATAACAAGGATTCCCAATATGTTAGATAATTATACGCTTATGATAAGTCCAAATAAAGGGAAACATTTATAGCCAAAATAATAAAAGAGATTTAGATTAGACAGAAATATTACTTATAGTAAGCCAAGTGTTTTCAACCGGGAAGCTGGCAAGTAATTACAAAACATGAAAAATCAATTATGACAAATACGCAACCAGTCCAAATGAATCTTATTTATATTTTGTATACCAACGTTAAATAATTTTAGTAATCTCGTCCAATAACATCACTGTAACACGGCCCTGGTACGGCCGAGAGTGAGGAGAGTCCGCTCTCCCTCTCGAAATACTCTCACATAGCCACGCGTATATAGCCTCTGCCAGGGAAGTCCTACTCACTGCCTTCACGTGGCGGGGGTGTTGTTTACGAAAATGAGAGGACGAAAAGCGAATGTCCGGCGCTTTAACCGGACCCCAAACCAATGGTGCACATGGGCTCCAGTATCCTGGAGGAACAAATGGCGTATGAACCAATCGTTGGTCACCGGCTACCATGGGACTGCATCTCCTCACGATGCTCCACTGCCTTGTGGATCAGATCTTCAGGTCAAAGGCTCGGGGTGTGGCCCCCTAAGAAAACCACCTGCTTCGGTTTGGGCACCCGGGCAGTATCACAGCCCTCACACATATCAATTGCGATTCGTGTGGCGCATATGTATTTGGTGCCTCCGTGTACCAATGCCTATGTGTTAAAATAAATAAATAAATAAGTATTAAAAAAAACTTATGTTACAGAGGCCTTTGAGAAAACAAAACAGAGCACTTTAAAAAATACCATAATTTGAATACTAAGGTGTGGTTTTGGATTTATTCCAGCGTATTGCAGACAGAAAATCTGAATTTATCAAACGAATACTGTGTCCAAAGCTTTCACTGTGATCTAATCTAAAACCTGATTAAAATGTATTACATGAGACCAATTTATCCGAAAATAATTGAAGATTTATCATTGTTTCATACATATTTTGAATAGTTCAAGTATGCTGTTTCTCATACAAAAGTGTGTTTTTACTTGAGAATTATCAAATAGATACGACCTAAATCATCCAAATGTATAATTTACAGAAAACACATGATCGCAGTCTGACAAACAGAAACGTTGGCATAAAGCGAATGTAAAGGTAAAGAATAATTTTATTATTTATCAGGTATGATTACCAGTTCGACATAAAAAAATGAGTGAATTAAATTTTGATTATCATAAAACTGAAAGAAATATTTGAAAATGCATTCAGAGATAAACACACTTAAGTGTGTCAAAATAGTACGACCACATAGAAAAAATTGAAAAGAAAAGCTATATCAATAAGAAAACCAGTTCATGAAGTGAAACATGTTCAAAATTATAAAGATTCAATTATTTAAGACAATACTATTAAGGTCAAATTTGATACCCCAACCATACATCCTGGTTCGAAAGTTCGAAATTATAGATCAAACGAGCATACTTACAGAAGCCAAAGTATATTTATCATCTAGTGTAAACTGTCTTAACAAAAATAATTAACCCTTGACGAACAACCCATAGCATTTTCAGGAAAAAAAGAATGTCATTTAGCCTTGACTGGATTCCACCATAAAACACAAAATATTACCGATAACTATTGTATAAAGCTCCTATATATTATAATAACATGAGAAATCAGGACATGTTGCTTGATATTTGCGTATCGATTCCAATTGCTACTTTTATTTGTATCCAAGCAGCAATTGAACCAATTGATTGATGTTTTTCATGAAAGCTATTCAACAAATTTTGAGTCACTGATTATTGATTTAAAAGGAATTCAGCACAGTTTTATTGAGGAAATAAACAAAAGGTTTACATCTAAACATATAACACACAAAACACGGTAATACGTTTGTACCTTAAATCCAGAACTCGAAGTTGATCACCTTTTCGTGCGCTAACTTCCTCTGATGTATGAGCTTCGTAGTCAAAAATGGCAACGTGATAATATTCACTGTTGTGAGAGTTTTCTTGTGTAAGAGGGTAGATCTTCTTCGAATTAATACACGGACCAACCGAACCCAAACTAAGACGACTGGATGAGCCAGCACTTGAAGGAAAATAAGGCTGATGAACAAGATAACGAGTTGAAAGACCACCAACGGAAGAATGATGATCTGAACTACCATTTTCCATAAAAATTGTTGCAGCAGTGCTAATTGTTCCGCCATTTTGCTCAAGATTCTTAAGACGATTGGAGTCAACAACAACAGATGATCTATAAGTTTTGTCCGATTTATGAGTCCCTGAATCGATTGTGAGTGGGGATTCCATTGCGCTTCGAGTGACACTTGCACAGCCGCTTCGGGAATACCTGTTGCCAATCAAGAAAGGCATAATATTCAACGAGGAATGTTGTTGTAAATGCGAATGTGATTGCACATGAATATTATTCCGATGTGGTGAATTTAATTTTTGCATAGTAATCTCGTCTGATGGCTTACTTGAAGAAACGCACCAGTGAACTGGACTTACAGAATGCTTATTATCTAAGTAATCGAAATTCGCACTGTTTCGTACGCCAGAATGGTGAGCCCTCACATCTCTTGTCATCTGCTCTAAAGCCAATTTCGGAAAATGATAGCTGCTGGAAAGTACTGCTTCCTGAAGACCTTCAGTGCAATGGCTTCCTGCGAAAACATTGACAAGAGAAGTTTTCGGAGTTGATAGATTGGACTTGCTACCCAAAGACAAATCTCTCCCAGTAGAAAACCTCTCGCGAGTTACGCAAGATGAAATTTTTTCATGCTCGTTTGTTATTCCAAGTTCATTCATTAGTCCGTCTTCGTGAATTACTTTTAAGGAATTAGATTTGTAGCTATCACACAATTCCATAGGTTGAGAACTTGTTCTCACGACATGTTTCGAGGGCTCACGCGGATTATGCAACGCATTAACATCGCTATTTTGTTCTGTAGGAGGAGGAGAAACGTGCTTTCCTGCACAATTACCCATTAAACGCTACATATGTCATATCGAACAAGAAATCTGAAAATGTGCTCGTCTACGACCTTCAAATTCCTAGAATTTTGAATTATTAAAACAAAAAATCATGATGATGAACTGATCACCAAGATTAATACTTTTCATGAAATCAACAAAAGGTGTCAAAATCACGTAAGCACACTGTGATTTTTGCTGCTAGCCAGCAGCCATTATTAGTTAGATCAGAATGATTTTATGTTTATGTAATTTCAAAAGAGTTGTATCATATCGCTTATTGCATTGAAGCTCGTTATTACGACATCATCAATCATTCTTTCAATTCGCGGCAACGGAATTGGAGTAAAATAGTTTGAAAAATAAAGAGAGTAGAAAGGAAATAAAAGATGGGATTAAAAAGCCAATAGAATAATAGATTGCAATTGGTAAAAGCGGTAACGGCAATAAAAATTGTTATGAAGATGTGAGATAAATCGTGGGACGTAAAACGTATATCCAGAGATCAAGCTGTATTTTTGACATGTTTTTGCTTTCATGCATTCTCCACCATTCAAGATAGGAACGTTTAGTTCTTCAGTAAGTGTGGAATATCTCGCCCCACGCGCTTTTCAAATACTTAACCAAGGAAAGTGTAATCACTGTTACGGGAGATACCGTACTTCAATAACGAGAAGGAGCAAAACTTGGACGTAACAATCACATAGGTCAAGGTTACATATTATCTGAAAGCGATGCATGTAAAACGGAAACATGTTCAGCACGCGATAGATCACTATAGTTTCGAGATCATAGGATACTTATATATGTGCTGTTTCAGACATTCCCAAGCGCATTTGATACACTCCCATACACTATCTCGTCGGCGGAAAAAGTCGATTGAGTTGTGCTAATTTTTCATGGATAAGAAAACAACTACAGAACAAAATATTCTTCGATAGATTTGTTACAAAGATGCGAAAAGGCAATTTGTTATATTATATAAAATAGAGATGGGATGACCAACTTTATGGTAGATATCGCTGGTGTCCGGGACCATTGGTAACAATGACCTCATGGAGGGTTTCCTTGAGGTTTCAGGAACGTAGTGATCGCCAGAGTTTTCGTCGATATAAATCGTTTTTGTTGCCTGGGCTATCGTAATCTGATATTTTTGGGTGTTAGCTTTCTAGCCCTTATCGTTTATCCGTTCGTTCAGCGTCCTTCGGTTGCTTAGTAGCCTCTGAATTTATATCGCACAAACAGGACAAGTTGATATGCAAACACAATGCACCGTGCAAGACATTTCATCAATTTGATGGGTAACTAAGGACCAATTGTCAATTAACTTGAGTGATGCTTTGACCTCATATCATGTATAATCGATTTGGTCATAGCCTATATATTATATTAGTTATATTTAAACTGAACCTCCTGATCCCTCCTCGAACACACTACCTAACTATCCAACTCTACCTTTTACTCTTAAACATACTTCTTTCACCAAACTAACCTCCAACTACCTTTCTCGCATTAACTCTATTGGTAATAAACTAACCGCACATCAATATGGATTCAACACTCTAAAATCCTCTTTAGCACATGGCGAAACAGACGATCCACTGGGTTCGCATCATACCCTTCTACTAGACAAACACTCACCTTACCTGACACTTATGTTAATCAACGCTCGATCTGTACAAAATAAGATGACACACCTACGCACCCTACTACTTTTAAACAACCCCTCACTTGTTTTGATGACGAAAAGTTGGCTGTCCTCCGATATCACAGACACATATCTACAAATAGACACATATAAGCTCTTCCGCTGTGATAGAGTCAAAATCTGAAAGCGGAAATCCATAGCGACCACGTCCTCAGCAAACTTTCTGATTCGATGTGGCTCACTGTGCACACTCATGAATGTAAAATATTAATTGGATGCATATATCGAGCTCCTAACACTCCTTGCTCAACTGACACTATTATAAGTGAGTCATTTGCTCAGGCTGCCTCGCTTGACTTCACTTACAAAATTGCATGTGGTGATTTCAACCTTCCCACCGTCAAATGGACGGAACATTCTGGCCCATTGTGCTTTGGAAGTATACTTAGGTCCTTAGACATAAACGGTTGGTAACAAAATGTACACCTGCCCACACAAAGTGCACCTGTAAAAATTATCTTAGTACCATAAACTTCAACATTAGGAGTATACATACCGCCATTAAAACCCCTAAGCCAAATGCGAGTTCTCATGCCAATGAAATCCCTTTAATCCTTTATAAAATGTCAGGACTGGACATACAGACGCTATTACTCAAAATATACACATTATCTTTAGAGACAGGTACATATCCGGAAACCTGGAAGGTAACGTATGTCCTTCCCAAACACAAATCCGGACCAAGAAACCTGGTCGAAAACTACAGACCCATAAATATCACTCCAGTTATATCACGCATAATAGAAAAAGTGATAAAAAATCAACTATCTGATCACCTTCTTAAGGAAGATCTAATAGACCCGTCACAACCAGGCTTCATTGGAACGAGGTCGTGCAATACATGTCTGATGGACTTAACGAGGTTACTCGCATACGTGACCAGAAGAAACTAGTGGTTATACTATATCTCAATATTAAGAAAGCTTTCGATAAAGTACCTCATAATCTTCTAATCAATAGGCTCAAGTCAGTTGTAATTATAAATCCCCTTTTGCAATGGATCAAGTCTTTTCTTACGAACAGATACCAAATAACCAAGATTGACTCTACTACTACTCGTTCTTCTTTTCCAACCTACGCCTAACTGATATACTAAAGATGGAAGGAATACAATACCGAATCAGTCATTGACTACAGTTCCCGATGCCAAATCTTAGGAATAGCACCCTCTTGGAAGAGAAGGCTTAGGTCTAATTTGATTCTCTACTTCAAACTACCCAAAGACCTTAATTATTCAACATGTAATATAGTTCTTGCCCGAGATTCACATGAATACGAACTTCGAAACAAAGTATCTACGGTCAAAGTTGGAAAATACAGATCAAAAACTCGGGAAAACTTCTTCCTCATCAAGTATGCAATAATTTGGAACAGTCTTCCCTCCGAAATACGCATGGCAGATGAATTACATGCGTTTGTAAGACTGCTTGATCAAGTCCTCATTTGGACTGATCTAGCACGTACGAACACATCTGCACCCCACTCAGACATCATAGGCTCTCTACATGTCTAAACCAAAATGGACTCTAAGTTCAGTTTGCCTTATTTTTTCTACTTTGCAGTTGTTTTAGTTACTTTTTCCACTTTATTTCTTCACTTAAAGTAGACAGGTAACTCACTGAACCTATCGATACTGTTCAACTAAACTCGGTCGCTAAGGGACACACATTACCACCCTAAAACGTCAAGAGAACCGAACAATCGTCTGCCTACTACAAGTCGGCCTGCATCTATGGAGCCTGTCACCCATCAACTGGTTAGGACAACACAAAATAACATCAGCACCAAGTTAGTCTGAGTCTCTCCTTGTTTATTGCTTATTAGCATTTTACTCTTCTGTACACTATGTTAACTGGAAATTAATATTATTTCTCCACTCTTTACATTATCTACAACCCATATACTTCTGTATTTCTCCGCCCGCTTTAATAAACAACTATCCTACATTATACCCTTCTTAATGTTTATACTCGAATTGGCAAACTATACTTTATACTATAGTCAATTAAAGCACTGCATCGATGCCTTACTCACAGTCAGTAATTTGTAACTGCCTGATAAGCTTGTGAAATGGTACTTATAGAAATAGTGTTTTCAAACAGGTTGTGAAACAGAAGATTGTGTGAGGCATGACATATATCCAGAAATAAGCGTAAATGAGCCTAACATCACAAAAGAGGGGGGGAATTACTGAACAGCAAGCATTGATGGTGAGGGCGATTACTTCAATCCACCCGTGTTTGTGGGTCAGAACATTTTTTTAAGAATCAGGCTCTCTATGATTGAGCATAAGCCAATCAATCTGTGATATAAATTGTCTTCCTACGCCCACCACTCAGACTCATGTTTCCAATTTTATACTGGATTGGCTATACTACTAAGACAACCTACAACCTGCTAACTCTGACTTTTACACTAGGATGGTGTGGCCGGCGTCGGATGTACAAAAAAAGAAAGAAAAAATCAGACAATAAAAGATATAGTTATTGATATTCTTAACACTTCACCCTCTATATGCATACTCCCTCTTATAAACCTCTTTACTTGTACCAACCTTGACTTCCCTTCCTTCATGTGAACTTACTCCAACATTTAAACATCACAATTCATTGTTCTTTATTACTACATTCTCTTAAATGGAGCCTCTGACTTCATTTCACTCTAACAAGAGATAATATGGATTTAATGTGATTTATTATACATCTGTCTGTTCTACTACACAATGTTAAGCAACGTTTGGCGTTCATATCCAAGTGCCTTGCTGCTCTGCTGTTTTTTTTTTATTTTCTTCTTCAGAATCTCTCTCTGAGGGCACAGCCATGGAACTTCTGACGTCTGGAACAAACTTGACGTATGCGACAACTCAAGGTCATGGTTTATAGCAAGCGCTCTACGAGTCTACTTTATAACAACTATAAACTTAATAAGTTGAGAAGCATGCTATGCTCCAACAAATGTTGTAATTTGTATATCACGCCTGTAAAATTGGCGTGTACCTGCTCATGCGGAAATATATTATTATTATAAGCACTATATGTTCCGAGATAACTTGTATGATTATATTGACCATGAAACTGTATGGGAGGTACTATGTAACATTTTGAGGTTATATATCACAAATTCACTTTTAAAGTATTATACTAGTTTGGGAGTATTCTAGTTTACGTTACTGTTTATATGGACGGAATATATCTCCATTCTCATTTCGGTACTCGGTATAACGTTTAGTATCAAGAAACCGCATCCATGCATAGTAGCAGGAAAATCTGACTTCCCTTCAGTGTTTCTGATAGTGATTTCAATGTGATTTTGTTGATCTTTCATCAGCCTTTAGATTTAAATGTTCCCAATTATATGCATTGCGTCTTGACCTTGATGGGAGACAACCGAAACAACAAATTGACCATAACCATAAGAAGGTGGAACCAATGTGTGGTAAATTTAGCTGTCATAACCAACTGCTTTCCTCCTAGTTGCTTCAACTACAGAATACACATATTCATTTTCGTACGAGTAACTGAGTGGATCCATGAGAAGTTGCCTCCTAGGATTGTCAAAGTAACTTTGCACTTTTAAGTGTCCTATTTGAGAAGTAAATAAAAAGGTAAAACTCCCCGTTTTGAGCTACAGAATTATAAGAAAACTCAGGGAGACACCAGAAAACGAATTCTTGACTAATATGCAGAATATGGTTCACTCAACTACAACATCGAAGTTGAATTCCTCAACAAGTAATCAGCATCACAACACAACCCAGGTAAGTAAACAGTAATTAGGAAAAAAAGGAGTCCAGAACTGCCCATGTTGCAGACTACTCGTGAAGAGAGAGATAGAACGAAAACGATAATTGTATCGTATACTCATCACATGTTAAAATCAGAGACTCAACATTAGAATGTAATTTCTGTGGTGTATAGATTCATTGTCTCCGTGATAAGACAATACATATACAGTACTATTAGTTTACATCAAATCGCCTCTGTCCGCGGTTCTAGTACACTTATCAAAAGTGTAGAAAAAATACATAAATAAGACTAATACAAAAGAAGTAAAAGACCTGATTGGAATCAACCATACAAGACCCCGACATGATGTCTGAATCGCCAAACACTTGACCATAGGAGCAACAACCCGAACTCACGCATCAACGAAATTACCAGGTGTTGATAATACCCCAGTATGCATTATTACCAAAAAGCTGTGAGTGTGCATTTGGAAACAAACTAGTGAGAGCATAGCTCGCAAAAATGCAGGAAGTGAGAGACAAAAATGTTTGACGAAGCGGAAAAAAGAGACTATTCGCAGTAGGCAAAACCGAAAACATGAAACTCAAGCGCAATATTAGTAAGGGTGCAGAAGCAGCCAATCAACTTATACACGTTGGTTATAAATGTTATCAAATATTGAGCATTGTACATTTTTTTCCAGGCTATTTACTTGGTTGTGGTGTGTGCGACTTTTTGGATGTCGTTTACTTTTCGGCGTTTTGTATGATTACATTTCGGGACGATTCTCGGATCTTTCACAAGATATAGGTATGAAAACTGAGTTGGAACTTATTAATTCTGGGATCGATACTATTAACAATCTTAATTTGTCTCCAAATATAACTGTGTTAAATTTGCACCACAATCGCATTTCAGAGATAAATGGACTCACGAAAGCGATATCGTTGCGTTATTTAGATTTATCTTCTAATTATATTACTAAGATCTGTGGACTCGATAATTTGCAGCATCTTCGAATTTTGAACTTGTCGTCGAATAAGATTCGGTCCATTGATTCATTAGAGAACTTAAAGTAGGTTTAAATACTTATGTCTTTGTATTTAAAATAAGTTCTGGTGAATGTATTTTTTAACGTTGTATGCCAGTCTGAAAATGTTTAGGACTTATATATGCACCATGGTGCTATTTTGATAAACGATATCTGTTGATGTTCAGCAAATATATCAGAGATACTTTTCAAAAATTTTTGGAAATCAGAACCAGTATAAGTCAGCTTTTAATTGTGAACAAAAGTTCACAGATCGATAGTTTTACTGTAAAGAGACGCTGATGCCGATGTTGAAGCGAATAATTCATGCTTTGTCGAACTTATTTTAACGTTCACATAAACGATAGGTTCATTTAGCCAAAGACAACGTCGTTCCATCACGGAGTTTGAACTCTCAGTATTGGGCATAACTTTGTCTTGGTTTCATTTCTACGACAGCCAAAATAACAAAATTTCACACGTAGTTCACATTTAGTTAAAGTGATTCAATGCAATCAGTTAATCAGTGTGTTGCTCTTACCTCTTATACTTTGTATGGATAGCGGTAAGTTCATTCATTATCCACATTAGTGGCATTGTGTCTAGTCGTGTTTAGATATCTTATCCTGTTAACTGTAAATTTTCTAATTTGCAGGCCCTCTTCTACTCCTCGTTTTTTTTCCAGTTGTTTAGTCCGTTTAGATGTCTCTTTCAATGAAATAACTAGCCTAGTTGGTTTGAAAAAACTATTTGGTCCCGGTTATAGTTTGACTGCTGTTATATTACAAGGAAATCAAATCCGGTCCAAGTCACATATCTTGGAGTGCTTAAAAAATTTAGTTAATTTGCGCCAATTAGTTTTGCTCAATCCACAAACAGGAGATAGTAATCCTGTTTGTAGCGAACCAGGTAAACACATATATTTGTTCTAACTGTACCCATAAATTTTTTACGATGCTACTGTATTCAGTAGTAATGGTACAATAAGGTATATGAAGTTTGTGCTAAATCAAAGTCTATACATCTTGCTATGTTATTAATTGTTCAAAATAACGTTATCACGTAATGATTAAAGACTGGCTTTTAGCCAGCTATCACATTTGTTACACAATTCAACGCCGGTTTCCATCACCTCTGTCTAGATATTGATCGTTAGTATTTTTCAGCAGCCAGCTGATCATGTGGCAATAAAACTTGTCAGTCACTTAATATTCATGAATCAGAGAGGTAGTTTTAGCTTTTATCACTTGTTTTTATCAAGATTAGCACATCAGATTACAACGCAATGTTAATTTATTGATTATACACGCACTCATTAATTGCACATGTCCCGTAAAAGGTATACAACATTAATTTGCTATTAGCTTCTATACATCCCTTATTATTATGACTACTGCGGTTATGTCATAATCTTTTCTATTATTTTAGCTTCTGAAACGAAATGATACATAAATGTTTACTACAATTAGCTTTGTTCCGAGAAAGCCTTTAGCTACTGGTTAGTCGTCATTATAAAAATACTGACGCATAAACTCCTGAAATGATAGATTCGTGGCCCAAAATCGTTTTCACAAATCCAGCTTAATTGGCTAGTATCTTATTTTATTTCAAATTGTAGATCATTGAGAAATGTCTATCTTTGAACCCATGTACAAGATGAAATCGTTATTATTTCGTTAACAACAATCATTTTATATGTTTTAAGTGGTTTCGTCCGCTTAACTGGATGGCTATGATTGTTCTTCTGAGCAACATCATCAGCACAAACTTCAAGTAGAAGTGAAGTGTTTAAATTTCTCTACATATGATTTACAGTCTGTCCTGTGGAGAAATTTTGATACTTCATCTCTACCTGAAATTTGTGTTGATGTTGTTTAAAAGAACTATGAACAAAACACACAAATTATCCTCCTGAGCAAAACATTTTCTTCACAATCTCAAAAGTTCATATGTTGTTGGGTTCTACTTTTAACTGGTTTGAATAAAATACTTATTTACTATATATACAATCTTATAATTATTTGATCAGATTTTTGGACTTTACACCAAGATATCAAACTATTACAGAATTATACAATTGTTTGCTCTAAGGTTGTTCAAAAATAACGTTTTATAATGGTAACTTATTGATATTGCTAATCATTATTTCTCCACCCTAGTTTATCGAACGTCAACGAAAATGCGTAAGCTACCGTAAACTACGGTGAAGCGTATAATCAATGCTTACAAACTTGTCAAAGTAAATATGACACATAGTTGTGAGACGTAACTAGGGTTAAGTCATGATCAAACTTTCAATCAACTGTACGGTTAATACGAGGGCCTAATAAATCTCAGGACGTCTAAACGTATAGTCTTTTAATGATCGACAACAATCTAGCCAAGTGATAAATCGCGCTAGTACTCACTTAGGTTAAATATAAGTCATTGGGGCAAAGTATATTGAGTAAAATATAGACCATTATAAACGATTTGACATTTTTTTCACATTTTGAGTTTTCCAAAAGATCGAAAATGTCTTGACAATTAACCTTGAAGCCATAACTAAAGGGATCCGTTGTGTCACTGAAAAACAGAGACAATTCATCGAAGAAAATTTTATTTTCGACGATTTCATTTACTTAAACTGAACAATCGTATTTATAGTCAGTTTTATTTGCTAAACTAGTGCTCTGTGGTTAGATAGAAAGGTGAGAATTAATTTAAAAGCTTGAAGTGGTATGTTGTTAAGAATTTAAAATGAGACATTTAGAGAAAAGTATGTGATAATTGGCTAGTGAAAAAGTTGTAAGGTCAAATAATTGTCCACTAGATAGCTATTAAAAACAGAACTACTAAAAGGTGTAATAATTGCTAATTAATATTTGTGAAAATAATTGGGAGGGAGTGGTAATAATAAAATAAATAAAAATAAATAAAGACGAAAGATTTAGGAAGATAGAAAGAGAGGTTAGGGCCGTAGAATAACGAGGAACTGAAAATGTTGTTGTTGTTGTTGTTAGATTTAAACTGGTGTATGACAATAGTCTGTACTGTACAAACGTTTTTCATTCAGTTTCTCATCAAGCTAACTCTTTTGACTCTATGTGTCTGGAATTGACTAGATGATGCAAGATTGAGCTTTTGACTGACTTTCCTAATTTTTTGGAGAGTCATATCGGGTATTGTCCGGATATGCGTTTCAAAAAAGTTCGCTTTGTGTGGCTAATATAACTCGCTCTACATAAGCAAGTAAACTGGTAGCTGCACATTAATTCGATCCAAAGCGGGAGCTTGTCCTTCATACAAATAGAATTGAATATATATATATATATATATATATATATATATTCTTTTATTCTGAGGCCTTAAACTATAAGTGCACACAACGTCACTAACCGACTCGCCATTTTTATATAGTAGCTGTTTCTATTCTAGATATTCCCACTCAATGATTTCAATATATCCAATGAATTCTTTGAAGAAATATATGCTCAGATACTAACAACCTGTGTAGTAGCCTTTCCACATAAAGTTATGTTTCATAATCATAAGGTAACACTAAACCAACTTCATACACATCTCTTTATGTCATTAGTCTATGAACACTGTTATGTAATGTCATTACTTGAATATTGTTTTTCCAGTTTGAATGAGCTGTATTATATCTTTCGTTGATTCTTTGAAATATTTATGAATTTATTCGTTTAAAGGTTACAGTTAACATCATTTTAACAGCTTATTTACTTTCTTAGAATAATCCATCATTTTTACAATCAGACTACGTTTAAAAAATATTGCTAAATTAATATCGTTAGAAGATTGATGGATTTCATTTGAGATAATGTATCATTATGTAACATACCTACTCATTTATTTTATTTTTCAATTTGTTTATATGTTATTGGGTTTTTGTTCTTTCTTCCAGATTATCGTCTAGATTTACTTCAGGGTCTTCCTCAATTGGAAATATTAGATCACGTTGACAGAATGGGCCGTTCCACTCAAATTAATGTTTTAGCTGATTTGCCAGGTAGATTAAATACGTTTACTTTATCCCCACACCTGTATATCTCAGTATTAGTTGTTTTTATAGTGTGTTGGCTCAGTTGTTACGTTGTTCAACTTTCAGTCACTGGACTATAGACTCAAATGCCGCTTGTAGTATTTTTTGTGCACCAGGGTATTATTACAAGCTTTCACAAAGAAAGTATGCCTTGAAACCGGATCTACAAACCTGTGGTTGATATGCGATTAATCTTTTCAGTATAAGATTGCTTCAATGTTAACTCAGTCGAATGTTAGGAAAATACTTTGTAAATGTAAAAAAGTGTTTATGTTTCGAGTTATTGCTTTATTTGCATAATTATGACGAAGTATAATCTGTCAAACATACAAGTCACTAACAGAAACGAAGGAAAATCATACTTTAAAGTATGCTGATATCTGATGTGGCCCTGTCCCAACGCTCTCATCTGAATCCGAGATATCGAGCTCATTTTCAGGAGAGCAGGGTGATACAGTGGCCTGATCGGAAATTTCCAACTGAAAAAGATATTCGATTGACTAATAAATAGCTCTTTTTGCAATCTACATTAGCTCCCGATGGGCTCTATATTCTTACGAATGCTGAAAAATTTCCTTCTCAATCTTTTAATTCGAGCAGTAGTTCGTGATTGAATGTATCATTATTAACTTTCGGACACCTCGCCTCACAACAATGTTAACATTTATTGTTTAATTTGAATGGATTTAGTGAATAAAGTTATAACACTGTATACTAATTTATTCAGTCAATCACACTTGAACAAACTGTCATAATTTTATTCAAACTAAACAGACTTTCTAACCTAACTAGAAGTGATAGCTCAAACAAAGGATATGTTGCATGGTTTTCACACTTTAATATGTATTTACCGGTCCAACTGTTTCTATGTAAAAACCTACATCACTTATATTACCAGGCAATTTAGTGAAAGACATGCCAAGAGCCTCCCTTTGTGGTTTAGAAAGTGGTCAGCCAAAGTCAATAATCAATTCTGCATTATCGCATTTAAACACGTGAAAATTGGTACAAGGAGGCACCAAATACTTATGCGCCACATAGATCATTTGATTTATGTGAAGGTTGGGATACTGCCCGGGTGTCCAAACGGAAGCAGATGGTTTTCTGAGGGGGCCACACCCGAAGCCTTTGACCTAAACGTCTAGTCCACAAGGCAGTGGGGCAACATCAGGAGATGCAGTCTCATTGTAGCCAATGACCAACGATTGGTTCGCGCATCATTAGTTCCTTCAGAATACTGGAGCCCATATGCACCATTGATTTGGAATGAGGGTTTTCCAACTTCCTTAGGTGAACTGTTCGTGCCCACCAACCAGGATAAAGCGTCAGACAATCTCTTTTCGTCCTCTAAATTTAGTAAACAACTCCGCCGCCATGAGAAGGCAGTGAGTAGAACTTTCCTGTCAATGATTGTATGCAAGTGGCCATTTGAGAGTATTTTTAGAGGATGAGCGGATTCTACCCACTCTCGGCTGTACCAGGGTATTTGGTAATAATGGGGATTTAATTACAAACACAATTCATGAAAATAAAATACAATTTACTTTTAATTAGAAAATGTTTTATCATTTGGTTGAAATTTATTATTTCAATACATAAATCAAAAGAAATAATATCTCTAAATTTAATCTCTGATACATATCGATATGGTGACTTCTGTTAGAAAGAAAAGGTTGAACAAATTCATAAACTGAATAATGATAATAATAATAATAATGAATATTTCGTTTGACTTATGTATATTTGTGTACAAATAAATTGAATGAAAATCATTGATTTTGTATTTGTTTTTGTTTTTCTCCTTTCAAAGAATTAAGTGGATTTCTTGACATGATTTCTACTTCTAGTTTGTCAGTAAGTTTAAAAAAATGTTTATTTATTTATGAATGTAAGTTTAATTCATTTAGATCTATTTACTGATTATAGTTATCATTTTTATTATGAAAAAGAGATATATGTAAAAATGTTTAAATGAGATCAGATTAATGTTAGATCATCATTGAAAACCTTAAAACATTGGACGGACGTTTCGTCCTGTTGTGGGACTTCTCAGCAGTGCTCATTCACGATCACATCATTGTAAACAAATAAAATAGTCAAATGTCAATAGATAAAGGTACAAGAATAGTATTTATAAAATTATGTCATACAACTATAAGAGTAATCAAAGTAGATTTCGTTCCTTTGAAAGATGGATTATATATATATTTTTTTTTAAAAATCAATAAGACTTACGACAAAATCAGCCCCCAAATGCTCTGGTACGGCCGAGGGTGGGGAGAGTTAGCTTTCTGTACTTCTACAAATGATCTCACATGGTCACGTGCATCCAACCACTTCCAGGGAAGTTATACTCACTGCCTTCTTGTGGCATTACTGTTGCTTACGAAATTGAGAGGACGAAAAGAGATTGTCTGACGCTTTATACTGGTTGGTGGGCACGAACAGTTCACCTAAGGAAGTTGGAAAACACTCATTCCAAATCAATGGTGCATATGGGCTACAATGAGACTGCATCTCCTGATGTTGCCCCACTGCCTTGTGGATTAGACCTTTATATCGAAAGAACGGGATGTGACTCCCTAAGAAAACCACCTGCTTCGGCTTGATGAACTGGAAAGTATCCAAGCCTTCAAATAAATCGAATGATTTATGTAGCGCTTATTTATTTGGTGCCTTCTTGTACCAATGTTTATATGTCTTAGTAAATAAACGATAAGATCAACACTGTATTCTTACTAAATTTTATTGTATGTATGTTCTGTTTATTTATACACAGGGATCTGATCATTTTGATGATGAAAAAGACAAGAAACTGAACTATAATAATGATCAAATAAATTTGTCAGAAAATTCTCCTAATAAAGAGGTTAATAATGTAATTGACTAAAGTTTATTTAATCATTTTCTGATTTCTACAATCAGTAAACAAATTTGATTGGATTTAATATTAATGTTTGCTTCAAAAATGGTTCTATATTGAACAATATTAACATTTAGATGGGTATTTCCTTCACTATATTTAATTGACAAAACAAACGAATAATCTATTAGCGATTATAGGGAACAATTATTTTCTCTGATTTATTCTAATGTGCTTCTGTTACTATGCTACAGTTCGAAACCTAATATCCTTTATTGATTTATGAGTCTGTGAATAATCACTTTATCAACTTTACTAGTTTATAGGTTCAGGGTTATTTTATCACAGTTAAAGTATCAGTTTCAAACATTTTAAAGTCTCGAAAGAGATATAGTAAACTTTTTAACTTCTAAACTGAATTTACAAATGATTTATTTTCATGAGTAATTTATTCTAGGAATTAGCTGAATATTTTATATCACCGAACTACTTAATATTATTCAGTAGTTTGTTTGATGACATTTAATTTCCACGAAGTACAAGGTTGAAGAGTCAAATGATTAGAGCTTCACTGAAAGAATTGTATTCTGATTAGTGGGTGCTACGGAAAAAGAATCCGAAAACTCATAGAGATTATCAGTTATTTTCAGGTGTGAATACAACAAAGTTTAGCAATTTCGATAATAATTAATAAGGATATGCCCATGTGAGATAGTATAACTAGAACAGATAAACGTTAATGACAGGCTGTTTTTTCTATTAGTTTGTAAATGTAAACATTTAGACTGGTATTTGATAGGTTGATTTCAGAATTGTCAATGTTTCCCAACATAAATAAGTGTGTTTACATCACCATATTCAATCGGAACGCATTTTACTTTGAAAATTAATGTTTCTTTAGGACCAATCGTATACAGTTTAGCACATATGTTACACAAACCTAACAAAAGATATTACTGAACAATGTATCTAGTTGGTTAAATGGTGTCATAACTAGCGAATGTATTATAAAGAACACATTTAAATGAAAAAATAATCTAGATATTGCATTGTCAGTAACCACTGTGATCAATTTATCTTGGTCAGATTCAAATGACATAAACTACCTTAACTGTTGGTCCCCAAATGCCCTGGTACGGCCGAGAGTAGGGAGAGTTATCTCTTTCTCCAGATGCTCTCACATGGTCATATGCATACAACCACTTCCAGGGAAGTAATACTTAATGCCATGTCGCTACCGCGGTGTTGTTTACGAGATTGAGAAGACGAAAAGCGAATATCCGGCGCTTTAACCGGATTGGTGGGCACGGAGAGTCCACCTAGGAAAGTTGGAAAACCCTAATTCCAAGTCAATGGTGCATATGAGCTGCAGTATTTTGAAGGAGAAATTGGCGTATGAACTAGCTGTTGGTCACTGGCTACAATGGGACTACATATCTTGATGTTGCCCCATTGCCTTGTGGATTAGACTTTTAGGTCAAAGGTGCTGAGTGTGGCCCTCTCAGAAAACCACCTGCTTCTGTTTGGACACCTGGGCAGTATCCAAGCCCTCATACAAATTGAATGATTTATGTAGCGCTTATTTATTTGGTGCCTCCTTGTACCAATGTTATATGTTTAAATAAAATATAAAAAATAACCTTAACTACTGAACCTAAAACGTTTTGCCTTCTAAAAGTACATCATCAAAACAAGAAAACTACTTCAGCGTTCTTTAGCCAATTTATTATGGACAATGAAACAGTAATAAATTAATTTTATAACTATTTTGAATTCATAAAGGTTCATATCAGTCACAACTGACTGATTATGCTACATATAGACATTTATCAACCAATTTCTTCATAAACCCTTTGTGTTATCTTCATGAAACTTCATTTAAATTTTAAGAACATTTGAATGATTCTCTCAAGCCTCTTATAATCGATACATAATTGATAAAGTCTTTGTTTTTCCATTAATAGATGCATTCAACAACCTGTGAACATGGTGAACAACATATTTCTACATTATCATCAACAACTGAACGTCGATTATTAAATTTAGAAAGTCAATTAAATTCATTAATTACATCCCATTTAATGAAAATTTATCAAACTGAACATATTCATTCAATACATCCCAATAATGTACTTCATTCATCAATTCAAGAAAATAATCTAAAAAATTGTAATAATGTATTACATGGGAATAATGAAATCAACTCCTCTAAAGTGAAGAATACACTTGAAAGTGTATGCAATGACTTATGTCAACATATTCCAGAAAAAGAAGTAAGTTTCTGCCTTCTAAATGAATTTTATATTCTTCCAAAATTCAAGTTTCAGTCAGTCAATTACAATATAGCACCAGGCACATACATGCATCGGTCCAAGTTGCCAAACCTCATTAGCAAAAATTCAAGTTTATAAACTAATGTCTAGAATGTTAGAAACAATAACAACTCAAATGAGCATAGTATCATTGTTTATATTTTGTGAAGGCAGATATGAGTAACAACACAGTCAGTCAGCTACAACGTAGGACCAGGCACATATATGCACGGGTCCAAGTTGCCATACCTCATTAGCACAACAAGATCAACAGCGGATTCTTTGTAGTTAATTTAATGGTGGTAATATATAAAGGAAAGATTGTCTATAAGGACATAGTACAGGAAGAAAGAATTAGATGGTAGAAAGAAAGATATAAAGTGATTTTAATCTCATAGTCTAAGGGAAGACAGACAATGTATACACCTACGTGAATGTGATCGACTCTGAGCCATGTCACAAGATTTCGCCAAAAGCGGCTGCCAATGTGGGAGACTGTAATTGATAGACTGGGCATAACTCAAGAACGGTAAATCGTATAATAATAGTTCATAGGTCAAAATAAAGCTTATAATAAGAGTAACATGAATATGCATATTTTAGCTATATAATAATTATACAATAAAAAACTATGCGTATAGTATTAGTTCAGAAATAGATTCCAACAGTTACCTTTCATTATTCTCATTGGGATATAACATAAAGTCACCTCACCAATTCGATTGTGGACTTCGATTTATAAATAAATGTTGTTTAGTGATGGTAAATCACGCGGAATCTAAAAAATGTTTCTCACTTTTTCATTTAAAATATTGACGACTGACTAATTGCTTAATGACTTAAAATAGTAACAGAATGTTTTAATTTCAAGTAACACCATATCCGATAACTTTAATCCTTAATCCTTATTAATCAATAATCATATATTTTCGAATCTCTCGAGGTGGGATGGTGTATGCACACTTCTGAGTAGTCCCACAATAGGACGAAACGGCCATTCAGTGCTTCCAGGTTTTCTATAGTGGTCTAGCTTCAATTAAATCATGATCTGAAGTACTGAAATTAGTATAATATCCACAAAAACCCCTTGTGATACTAATTAGCATATTCTCACTACTCACTGGCTTCAAGAGGTATTTCCTGGCGTTCTGGTGAGAAGCTATGACCAGTGGAGTTCAACTGAGTCTGTTGTGAGATAGTAGCTCACTGAAAACAATGGTGGATGTGTCGCTGAATTTCGTGAATTAATTGAAGTTAGATATTAACACCGTTAGATGCCAGTGGTTTAGAGTTCAAGCGTTCGCACGCGAGACCAATAGATCCTGAGTTAGAATCTCGCGAGGCGGGATCGTGAATGCACACTACTGAGGAGTCCCACAATAGGACGAAACGGCCATTCATTGCTTCCAGGTTTTCCATAGTGGTCTATCTTCAATTGACTCATAATCTCAACTATTAAAAAAATCATATCTGTATTTAAAGTTTATCTTATATGAGTTTCTTACTATCACCTATGATACATTTCTAGATGCTTGATGGAGAAGTTCAAACTGAAGCAAACTTACAATCGAATAATTTAACGGTACAATCGACTATTGGTATGTTACAAAAAACCTGTTTAAACTTGAATGAATATTTTCTTATAGATTGATTTAATGTTTGTAAAATCAATAAGGGGTACATATATTGATTTTTGTTGTACAAGAATACATCTTTAACTAAATCATCTTTATAACTACTTCATCAAGAAGGAATTGAACTTTATGTCTTTAAATATTAAAGATTATACGTGAATAATATTTCACGTTCAATTGATGTCATGAAAACTTTCCAAAATGTTGGATTTATGTTATATATGATTCGTCAACAGCAAATGATTATTTCATGAGTACCGCAATTTTGTGATTTTCTATGGTTAATACAGTGTTCGGTTGTTGTTTTTTAACTTTCCGTCAAGTACAAACAACCATTGAAACAGTGATTTCATGATAAGAAGCAACATGATACTACACTTGTATGTTCTTTCCATCAACATAAGACATCGATCATCGTTTATTGTAGTGGTTTAGTCATTTAAATTATTGTGTTAAACTTTGTATGATTTTCTTGTATCTCATGATGTGTTCACATTAATAATTCCAATATTTCAACTGTGAGACCGTTACAGTTAAAGATCTTATTGACATTTCAAATAAATGTTCAATACAGGTTTAAAAAAGCAAGATTTTCTACTTGCTTACTCCTGTTACTCCCAGTGGAGCATAGACTACCGACCAGCATTCTCTAACACACTCTGTCCTGGACCATCCTTTCTACTTCTATTTAATTGTTCTTCATTCTCCTCATGTCTGTCTCTATTTCTCAGCGTAACGTGTTGATTGGTCTTCCTCTTCTCCTTTGGCCTTGAGGGTTCCATGTGATGGCTTGCGTTGTGACGCAGTCGGATGCTTTCCTTATAGTGTGCCCTATCCATTTCTTGATTTGTTTCTCCTCTGGAATCTGGTTCGTTCTCTCCCACAGTAGATTGTTGCTGATAGTGTCTGACCAACGGATCCGAAGTATTATGCGTAGACAGCTGTTAATAAACACTTGTATCTTCTGGATGATGGCTTTCGTAGTTCTCCAAGTTTCCGCCTCATACAGTAGAACTGTCTTGATATTTGTATCAAAAATTCTGAGTTTGGTGTTGGTTGACAGATGATTCTTTTGATTCACGCCTTCACATTTACATTAGATCCACTGTGTTCATCAATGATGCTTCCAAGATATGTAAAAGTTTTTACATCTTTCAAATCTTCTCCATCAAGTGTGATTCGATTGGTGCATGCTGTATTGTACCGGAGAATCTTACTTTTCCCTTTGCGTATGTTAAAACCTGCTGCTGTCGCACTAGTCGTCTTCTCCTGTATTTGTTGTTGTGTGTGAGATAGAAGAGCCAGATCATCCCATTTTTCCCCCCAAACGTCGATGTTTTCATGATCCAGTCGATCACCAGGAGAAAGAGAAAGGGTGAAAGTAAGCAACCTTGCCTGACGCCGGTCTTTACTTCGGAAGAGTCTGTCAACTGTCCTGCTCCGCCTGGAGCCGCTCTAGGGCTACTGCCGGTCCCAAGCCCGGATAAAGGTGGAGGTTTAGGCATGAGGTTAGCAACCCCAACCCGTAGAAAACTAACTCGCTAAAAAACACTAACCAGAAAAAAACAAAAAATCAAGATAATCGTTGTGATAATCGTACGTAATACAGCAACCTTGTTACAAATAAGTGGGATTATCCCGTTGCCTAAATTTTGATAGTTGAAGTCACAAATAATCATAACACATTCAATTGATTATTCGATTGGAATAAACTGATTATTGAATGAATGGAATATCAGTAACAACCATATCAAGGTTTAGTGTCAGTTTCTATGTTACGCCAGTTTATCCATTCTCCCTGAGTCACGTCTTGACTTTGTTAATTATTCAACTTTACTGTTTTTATATGAGCGTATGTGTGTGTACAGTTCTTATCCTATTGTAATACTCTAAGATTTAACTATTAGTAATGCAACTATGAATATCACTAATTAGATAGTTTGGCGTATCTACCTATCTATTTATCTGTTTCTGTTTTCCGGTATCATTCTATCCATCTGTCTCTATTTCTTACTTCCAGTATATTTAATTTAACTCACTCTTTTTCGATGGGTGATTTCATTAATTTGAGGCTTATAATTTGTAAAACTTAAATTTTCAGGCTCTGTTCATATTAGCTATTATGTTATTGACTCAATTGAGTTTGATCCTATATTAAGCTTGTTTTTAGTGTCACTATTGCATCATATTATCCGTTTTGTCTCTTGCGCAATATAGATCCAGATAAATCATCATCGCAACCTATTCAACAGTTAAGTGCAAAAAGTCTTCAAAATTCAAATTTGAACACATTTCAACGTCATAATCATTCATCAACTATGAAGAAACAATCAGTTGTAGAGAAAAATCCATCAAGTATATCAACAAAATCGAAATCAATTTCTGGTAGATTATCTCAAAAAACTTTAACGGAAAAGAAAACGTAAATACTTTCTGCTTTACTGATTTACATTGTTGATTTTTGTGATTATATAGATTTTGCGATTGTATATAGGTCATTCTTAATAGAAACTGAGAGAAAATGGTTGTTGGAGGAAGTCAACAGAAAACGCTGGATCCGGGTTTCGTGCTACTTGGCACTCGTCAGCAAAGTGTACCTGTAATCTTGAGGGAACTGATGCTCCCTGACAGATTCGATCCTTTGTCACCCAGCTTCACAGTCAGAGGCGTTATTACTGAGCTATCAGGGCTGCGAATGACCTTCTGTAGGACTGAGATGATAGCATCAGTTCCCTCGAGATTACAAGTGCGCTTTTCTGACAAGTCCCAAGTAGCACGAAACCTAGGTCCAGGGTTTCCTGTAAACTACCTCCAACCGCCATCTTGTCTCGAAATAGTGTACGCAATGTCGAGTCACCTTGACTGGTGGCCAGATCGCAACTTGGTCGATAGGATTCGATATGCACTAAGAAGGACCTGACATACATGACATTGATCACCACCCAGTGATCAATCAATTATCAATACAAACTGTTTTAGGGTTATATAATCGCTTGAGGTTTTTAGAATTTTGATCATGGTATATTTAAACCAATGTGGTGTGAGGCGAACAGTCATTAGTGTAGTCGAAGCTTATTGTTATTGTTAAATTATGTGACTTAATGCAACGATAGTGGCAATTTTATTAGCCGAACTGGACATCACAACTACAGCTAATCATATGTCGCTGGTTGTTTAAGAAGGAGTAAGTTAAAGGGAATCCAGAGGTCCAAAACATGAGATTTGTTACGAACTCATGAAGCCGTCTACTGTTTATCTGACACATTTTGATGAATGTAGATTATCTGATTGAGTTCCTAACGATAGTTGTGCTTAATATTTGAGGAGCTAAGATAACGTAACTAAAAGTCGGTCACACTGATCCTAATGTATTCAGTTTCATTTTTCACCTCAGTCTTGAGTTTTGATATTATTTCAAGCATTTTATTTACGTATTCTATCCCTTCTTTTTGAATACAATTGATTTTACTATGATTTTGACTTCTTTAATGTAATGAGGTGGTGTGCCAATGTGGGTTGATCCACATTTTATTCCAGGTTGAAATATTTTGTGATGAAATCAACTTAACTTGGAAGTTTCGCTTGAATAAGGCATCAGTAATTTGAACATTAGTTTAGTGTATTTTGAAGACAATGGCAGACGGTCGCTCAAGATCATGGATCGATTAAAATTATACAATAACCCCGTTGAATTCCGGCTCAATAGTCTACAGGTTATGCATTCGCTTGCGTGACCGAATCTTTTGAATTCGAATCTCGCGTGCGGGACCGTGTATACGCACTTCTGAGGAGTCCCGTAATAGAAGGAAACTTCTGTCCAGTACTTCCAGGTTTTCAGTGGTGATCTAACATTGATCAATTAATCATCTGAATTAAATATGGAAATCATCATAACATCATAAGAAATTATAGAAAATAGTAAAAAAATACGATCAATTTAACTGTTAAGATAACTTGATGGAAAATTTGAAAATAAACATCTTTTAATTTTCATTATATACTACTGAAATAAAAGTTGGCTGTAAATAAAAAAAATTTTTTTTAGTCATTTCAGTAAACACGAAAATTCTAAAAGATCCAATTCCACCGGGTTGATGAATTTCAACAATGAATCCACTGACCAAAGTAAAAAAAACGTTCAAATTACTGATTATATAAATTTTGTTTTCACTAGAACACATACAAGATGGTCCTGTAACTATGAAGATTTCTCCTACTTCAAATATACAATCATATCATCATGGAAACGAAGCGAAAACATTGAATGTATGCTTTCTATTGTATTCATTCATATTTCTTCTTAATGTCTTCTTATTAAATCTAATTCAAGTGAACACAATACCAAGTGGACTTAACTTCACCCCATCGCACAATCAAGTGGCTATCAAAACTCATTAGCTAAGTAGATAACATGATGGCATTTGAAGCGAATAGTACTGGATTCGAGTCCTAGAGTGAGCATCCACTCTGAGATGCAGGTACATCCAGCTGACGCGTTCCAAGTGGTACGAAACGTGTGTCCAGGATTTCACAACTAGCCACTATTCATTTTGACTTCTAATTCACTTATGTTGTGTAAGGTTTGATATTCTATGAAATTTTCGTCAAAGATTTAAAGTTCACAGTGATACAATCAACAGTAAATAAACTGTTTCTTACTAAAGATATTTATGATTTGTTACATTGAACATGTTTCAACGAGAACAATGAGTGTAAGATCACGAACTGAGCAACTAAACTGTCATTTGCCTACATCCAAATAATTGCACGTAATTTCAACATTCTTCATTCATTAATTTCATAACATAAGAAATTTATACTATGCGATTTTTCTCTTTTTTCTTTGCTTTAATCAACAACATTGGATCATTTGTGTTTTAGTTGAACATTCATATTTGAATAAATAATCATGATTATATACAAGTATCCGATATAACATTTTTCTTGAAAAGAGTCGGAACTGATTGGCCATTTATTATAATCGATCGGACTCGTTGTAAGCCTAGCTGTCATTAAATGTGTTAACGTTTATTGTTCGTCCGAAATGTGATTGACATTTGTATATTTCTTTCATTCCTTTCATAATTCTACTGAATTCATAATCAGTAGTATGATTAGATATTTTTTTGTATAGATAACTTATTTTTTAGAAGACTATTATATCTTAACATTTGAATTGACTTCTACATAGAAAATACTTTATGAATTCGATCAAGAAAAATCACGAAGAAAACAATCGGAACAATTATGTCAAGATTTAGTTAGTCGAATACGTGAATTAGAATTATCAGGTAAACTTACATTTTTTGATTGAGATCATGAACCGATTGATGTTAGACCATCGTTGGAAACCTAGAAGCACTGGACGGCCGTTTCGTCCTATTGTGGAACTCCTGCTTGGCAGTGTGCATCCACGATCCCACTCGCGGGATTCGAACCTAGGGACTTCAGTCTCGCGCGCGAACACTTAACCTACTGGACCAATGCGCCGGCATCCAATGGTGTTAGTGTATAACATCAAGCAATTCATGAAATCGCGCGACCATCTTCGATTGTACTGAGGTAGATACCTGTAACTACCCGACAAGGATTAACTCCACTGGTCACGGCTTCTCACTAGAACTCCGAGAATTCCCTCACGAAGTTAGTCACTAGTGAGCACATTTTAAGTACCAGTATAGGGGTTTTGGAGCTTATTAAGTCTTTGATTGAGATCATGAACCGATTGATGTTAGACCACCGTTAAAAACCTGTAATCATTGGATGGCGTTTCATCCTATTGTGGGATTTCTCAACAGTGCGCAACTACGGTCTCGCCCCACGAGATTCGAACCCAGGATTTATCAGTTCATTTATAACTAAATCATCTGTTTACTTGAATAATCACAACTCGTTTTGTAAGATTTTTCATAGGGTTATTTTCCAAATGACTTATTCAACTTGATCAAATCCAAATGAAGATTGTAGTGTAAATGTATGATTATTCTAATTATGATGTATAAGTGATCATTTCTGATGGACTGTTTAAATGTCAGGCATTAATCCTAAATCCTGATTATTCACTTTGTACATAATATTGGCGAGACGATAATTTATAGACGAACCAATCAGATATAAGATAACAGGTCTCGGATTCACTGATCCATTTGGATAAACAGAGTCTTGGCATTGTAGTTGATGTCAGTTCGTGATGATAACCATAAATCTAATTCTTAACCTTAACCATCAATTGTAAATCATAATTTGAATTCCTCACACTAATTTATAACCTTCATTTGTTCCTAGTTCTTAGGTTGACACTCTCAACGTCAGTCTACTGCTGCTCAAAGGTAGTCCATAAATTATAGTCTCACTCTAATATTATCTCTTTAACTAACTTACATAAACTATCCTCTTGTATCATAACCAGAATATATGGATTGTATATTTGATGCATTATGTAATCATACTGAGTAGAATTGATTTCATTGAATAATTTGTTATGCATTAAATTGTTCACTGAATTATGTTACTATCCATTTTGATGAAAATAGAAATCAGTAACGACTACACTATATAGTAGGCTACTCCTATAGTTTGAGATATCATAAAGAGATTTATATTGTAATGTTATTCATTATTAATTCTAATGTATTCATTTGTAATAAAAAGCGATGGATCAGCATGAAGCTTTGAAAGTCACAGAAGAATTGAAACAGGCATTTACTACAGAACATCAAGAAAAATTATTAGTACAATCTCAATTAAAGATAATCGAAGTAAATTTACAATTTTTCAATACTTATACATTTCTGGTTTTTCTTTCAGCTAGTTTTGTCTGAAGTTTAGTTTAACACTTAAGATGTTATAAGTAAAGATGGATAGTAGTTAGCAGTGGAATCCAGGACGCGCGTTTCGTCCTATTTGAGACTCGTCAACTGGATGTACCTACATCTCAGAGTTGATGTTCACTCTGAGACTCGAACCCAGTACCGTTCACTAAGTGGATAACGCGATGTCATTTGAAGCAAGCAGTACTGGGTTCGAGTCCCAGAGTGAACATCAACTCTGAGATGTAAGTACATCCAGCTGACGTGTCCCAAACAGAGTGAATTCCACTGCTAGCCACTATCTATTTTTGCTTAAAAAGCTTGTGACCTAAAGCAATATTGAAGCAGTTGGCACAGGCTGCTACACATATGCCAATGAGAGACTGATCCATTGCAGTCCTAAAACAACAATTGGATGATACAAGTAAACAAACTAGAATTTATGAACTTTTTTGAGTGATACCAAAGTGGTATTGAGAAACTTCAACCCCTTACTATAGTTAATGTACGGTTATAAATTTGTGTACAGAACCGGGATTAAGAGTTAGAATTTGAACTTTTATCATGAACAGATATCAGTTATAATACCTAGAAGGTATTAAGTTAAGATTCATTATCTTAAATCTGGTTCAGTAGCAAGCTATTACGTTTCTAACTAAATAGTTTGTTCATTGTTTCAGTGTTGATTAATCACCTTCTTTTCCTTTTTCTTTTGTTCAAATGTTCAATGTAGCAAAAATTTAATGATATGTGTCAAATTGTTGATCATCTACGAGTAAAAGAAGATGAAGTTAAAGATCGATATGAACGAGAGGTACAATTGATAATTGATGAATAAACAACTTTCACATGTTCTTTATTGTTTAAAAAAATAGCTATCAATATTCTGCCTTAAACTACATCTAAATACGATCAGACAGAATCAGTGATCTCCCAATCTTATTTGATCGATATAAACGATATCCGACGTCTAACGATATGAAGCCCTACATACTTTGAATGACTCTCGTTATTATAGTTTTAAAAATCAGATAAACCGATTAGTCAAATACTTTATTAGATAACAGTACAATATAATTGATGGGTTGATTCGTTGTAAGTTTATACAATTCCTTTATTTAATGTACATTTGAGAGGAATTGGAATCGAAGTTAAACAATCAATCTGATTTTCTTACTTTATGATGAAATAAAACTGTTATAAAGTGTAGTCGAATAGTATACAACTACTAAACAATTGTTTACCCACTAACTTCAGTCTTGTAGTATGTGGTTGAAGTTAGATTTAAATACCGTTGGATTCCGGTTCAGTGGTTTAGAGATTAGATGTTTGTTTATGAGATTGAACGTCCTGGATTCTATACCCGACAGCAGATTCTCAGATGCGCACTTTTGACAAGTCCTGTGTAAGGAAGAATCAACTATTCAGTGTTTCTTCGTTTTTAGTGTTGGTTCAACTGAGATAAGTTTATGGTTTCAAAAACATTTACTACAACCACATACTGAAAAAAAAATTTCGATGATCTCGCTGTTATTAATTATTATTCTCGAAACTTTAAGAAATTATTAAACTGTAAACTGTATTGATATATTGTGAGGATGGCCCACGGATGAACTCGAGCAAGCTCTAAGTAGCTCAGAAAGAGCCGTAGAAATTCTATTCAATCATTTTTTCGGAAGAATATTCCAGAATCTCTACGTGTAGCTTCCCTATTGGACAAATCCTAATAACCCACTGTATACGGATCGGTGGACTATAATGATGATTTTGTTTTTACTAGAAAAATATAAATACCTGATAGTTTTGTACCATATTCGACACTGTTTGAAATAGCATTTCTTTCAATTGTTTTCTGTCTTCTCATTTACGACTTGGAGGGTTCTAGTGTTCAAGTACCCAAGTTATACATGGTATATTAAGAAACCAAGCCCCAGATATAACATCTATTAGCTTATACTACTTATTATGTTGTTTTCTTTGATTAGTTATGCCTAATTGGGTGTTTTTCCAATAATATCTGATAAATATTTCTCTTAGTAGATTGAAAATTTAAACAAACTCATAAATGAAATACGCGCAGATAATAAAAATGCAATGATAAGAGCGGAAAATGCTAAACAGAAATTAGACAAAACCAAAACATTATTACGTAATCGTGAAGCAGATTATGAGTAAGTGGGAATAGAGATCAAAATTATAATCATTTCAAATTATCTTTTGAGAAACATATCAGTTTATTTCTTTTTGAAATATTCAGAAATGATATTTCAAATAAAACTTTGGCGAGACTTTAATTTATGGATGACCTTTGAATGAACTTAAATGACCTTAAGAATATTAGCCAATCAACAAACAGTCAGTTTAGTGTAAAAATATATTATACAAAACCAAAGAAAGAAAATGGATACACTTCTTATATGTGGTTCAAAAATTTGTCAAGATAGAAAGAGGTTCAGAGGTTGTAAAATCGTAATTCATGCAATAGAGAAAATCATCTATACGACTATAGAATAATCGCCCTCTGGAGCCATAATAAAGTCTCAAAAACTCTTTCAGCCTTGACCGCATAGTTTCAATGTTGTTTATGTGCACTTCGGTAGTTGAGTAGACAAAATGCTACTTGTGGATAACGACACGATGCACATAACTAAGCATATGTAGGAGTCTGTACGCTCTCCAAACATCCGTATATATTGTAGTACCTGGCTGCAGCCAGTGTTACTGGTGCTTTTATTATCCAGTTCGCAGTAGTTGTCATAATTTGCCTTAGTTAGGAATTGTATATAGGGTTTTCATCACGAACTGAGATCAGCTATAATGCCAGAAATTTATTTAGCCAAATAGATGAAAGGCTTTCGCGTTAAAATCCGAGATCTGTTATCTTATGCCTGATCGATTCGTCCACAAATTATAGTCTCGCCGTTTTATATTTTATAGCCGCTCAATTCTCATGTTTTGTACGAAATTCCCTGTAAACCGATCGTAGATTAGCATTAAGCACTGAAGTTGATACCGTAACCTTGAAATCTCTAAAACGCTTCTGATTGGCTCGTCCATAAATTGGAGTCTCGCCAAAACTTTATCTATTGTCCATGTAAATTGAAGGATGTTAGACATTAGGACGATCTCTGTGATATCTAATCAGCAATGTACTTACTTACCTACTTACTTACGTCTGTTACTCCCGATGAAGCATAGGCTGCCGACCAGCATTCTCCAATCCACTCTGTTCTGGATCTTCCTTTCCAGTTCTATCCAATCAGCAAATGTAGTGACCGAATTTCTGAACTGAAAAACAATTTTTCACGACTGTTTGACAAATTTGAAGCTTTTGAAACAGAGTTTATTGTGCTAACTCAGTCAGCTACAACTTAGGATCAGGCACATATATGCATCGATTCAAGTTTCCACACCTCATTAGCACAACAAGATCAACACCAAATTCATAGAAGCAGATACTTCAATGGTAGTAATATATAGAAGAAAGATTGCATATAAAGATGTGATACATGAAGAAAGAATTAGTTCGTAGAAAGAAAGATATAAAACAATTTTAATCTCATAGTTTAAGGGAAGATAGACAATGTATACACGTACTCCATTGTTATCGATTCTAAGCCATATCACCCAGAGTCTCCGACCATTGGTTACGATAGTCACGCGGATCCCAACCAAGAAGTCTGCATCTACCAACATGGCTAAGACTAGAGGTTAGTGTCTTTAAGGACTGGTGCCACGTTTTGGTTTGGCCGATCCCAACTTTATTCTAACCATCCCCAAAACTAGTCAGCATTGCGCGTCGCGGTAATCGATGTTCAAACATAAGTGACACGTCACCCAACCATCTCAGTCGATGAAGATTTATTACGTTAACTGCTCCATTATCGTTTAACATTATGGGATTTAATTATAAATTCTGAATAGAACTACTTTAAGCTAATAATAGCCTGAGTGAAATCTTCAAGCATGTGGAATTGACTATATTCTGTCAGTTATTAACGGAGGATAAATTCCATCACTTGAAATGTTGCACACTTACAATATTGGCTTTTTTTAAGTCAACTTACATTTGTCAATGATCTTTTTCGTTTATGGACTTCAAGTTGTAGATTTGAACTAACAAGGAAAATACCGGTAGAACTATAATTTATGAACGACCTTTGTGTAACGCTAAAGTGACCTTGGAATATTGACCTACTTAACAGGGCTAAATGAGGGTTATATATTAGTGCTAGTAAATAGGATTAGGATTTGCAGTTGATAGTTAGTGTTCAGAATCAGATTCAATGTTTTCATCACGAGCTAACATCAGTTATAATGTCAAAATTTTATTTAACCGAATTATGAGATGAATTTTGTGCCAAAATCTAAAATCCGCTATCTTAATGTAGTTGGTTCACCCATAAATTATAGTCTCTCTGAAATCTTTAATTAGTAATGAATATTACAATAAACATTATTCCATATTCAATATACAACTGTGTCAGGTAGAGACAAGTATCTATCTCACAACAATAGAAAATAGTCGCTCAATTTCGTAGATTGGTTGAGGTTAGGCATTAACACCGTTGAATACCGGCTCTGTGCTCTAGAGTTTAGGCGTTCGCGCATGAGACTGAAGGCTCTGGGTTCGAATCCCGCGAACGGGATCGTGGATGCACACTGTTGAGGTGTCCGAGAATAGGACGAAACGGCAGTCCAGTACTTTCAGGTTTTCAATGCTGGTCTAACATCAATCGGTTCATGATCTCATCAAAAACGTAAAAATCTCCATAACATTATACTGACGACTGTTTTAGACTGACAAATTTTTAAGCCAATAACAATGTTTATTAGTCTACTGTTAATCAATAATTTTGTGTATATCAATCCATCTTCAACCGTTACTCATTTCCACCTTTTATTCATTTTTAATTTCTTTCTTGTCATTTTATATAGAAAAGAATTAAATAATCGTTATAAATTGGATAGTCCAGAATTATCTAAGTTTATATCAGCAAAAATTGATCTGGAACGAGCACATTACCAAAAAGATATTGATTTGCTTCAAGAAAAGTATGTTTCACTTATTTTTACAAGTGTTTTCACAGTTGAAATCACGAGTCAGTCTTAGCTAGGTAACCATTGAAAACCTGAACATCTGTTCCATCCAAATACGGGACTCCTCAACAGTGTGTATCCATGACCCGGCATGCGCGGATCAAACCCAGGACCTTCAATCTTGCACGCATACGCTTGTCCTCTAGACCACTGATTCGGTATTCAACGGTGTTAATGTTTAACCTCACGAAATTTCGCGATCAACTTCCATTGTACTGAGGCAAATACCTGTAACTACCCTACATGGATTAGCTCCACTGGTTACAGATTCTCACTAGAACTCCGAGAATCCCCTCACGAAGTTAGTCACTAGTGAGCACATGGTAATTTTCAGTATGAGGTTCTGAATAATAATAAGTTACATATTAGTTGCATATTATACACAAGCCTACAACCAAAACTCCTAGAAGAGCCCTTCCAGAGTTAAAACTGGTTAAAGGAGGGGGGCTGTATTCTGGATTACTAAATCCACCTTCGTGATTTCAATATTTCTTCATTTTACTAGATTAATCGACAGTACTAAACGTTACACAGCTCTTGAAGATGAATTCAGAATGGCACTGAGAATTGAAGCAGAACGATATGAAACAGTATGTTTATGTTTGTGAATAATTTTGTACTAAATTTCTGTCATGACGATTAATTTATTTTTGCGATACAAAATCGTTTGTTTTTTTGGAAATGATATATTGTTATCCAATGGGATCGCATTTCCAGTTGTCATTGGTCAATGAGATGGGAAATGATTACAGAGATTATGCAATATAACATTTGATATATGTTTTACTTGAATCTTCCCATTGATGTTTAGGACTGCACTTGATCAGTCTCTTATTGCATATGTGCATCCCATGCGTATTGCATCGATATTGCCTTAATTTACAAGCATTATAAGCAAAGATGGATAGTGGCTAGCAGTTGAATCCAGTTTGACGCGCGTTTCGTCCTATTCGGGACTCGTCAGCTGGATGTACCTGCATCTCAGAGTTGGTGTTCATTCTGGGACTTGAAGCGGACGGTATTGGGTTCGACTCCCAGAGTGAACATCAACTCTGAGATGCAGGTACATCCAGCTGACGAGTCCCGAATAGGACGAAACGCGCGTCAAACTGGATTCCACTGCTAGCTACTATCCATCTTTGCTTATAATTTGATATATGGTTACTTGTGACATTCTCAGCAACAGTTCTTTACATATCATTGCATAAAGACAAGCCTGTTTACTCTCCCCCTTCCTCTATCTTTTAGTGCTTGACTGGATTGCGAAGACTTTGACGTCTGAGGGAAAAATTCGGAATACTATGGACAGATTGTAATTAATTTAAAGATTTGGACTTCGGAGATGACTTAGCCCTTCTATCCCATACACACGAACAAATGTAGATGAGAACAACTAGTGTAGCAGCAGCCAGTGCATCAGTAAGCCTCAACACACATAAAGGAAATACTAAGATCCTCAAATACAACACGGAGAACAGCAATCCAATCACTCTTGATGGCGAAACTCTGGAAGATGTGGAATCCTTCACATACCTGGGAAGCATCGTCGATAAACAAAGAGGTTCAGATGCAGACGTACAGGTGAGGATTGACAAAGCAAGGACAGCATTCCTTCAACTGAAGAACATATGGAACTCAAAACAACTTTCAACCAATATCATAGTCAGAATCTTCAATACGAACGTCAAGGCAGTTCTACTGTATGGAGCTGAAACTTGGAGAACTACTACAACCATCATTAAGAAGGTGCAAGTATTTATCAATAGTTGTCTACGCAAGATACTCAACATCCATTGGCCGGATACCATCAGTAACAGCCTTTTGTGGGAGAAAACCAACCAGCTTCTAACTGAAGAGGAAATTAGGAAAAGCTTATGGAAATCGATAGGACAAACATTACGGAAATCATCAAACTGCATTACGAGGCAAGTGCTAACTTGGAATCCTGAAGGGAAGAGGAAAAGAGGAAGGCCAAAGAACACATTACGTCGGGAAATAGAAGCGGATATGAAAGGGATCAATAAGAACTGGAAAGAGCTAGAAAAGATTTCCCAAGACAGGGTTGAATGGAGAATGCTGGTAAGCGGCCTATGCTCCTTCACGAGGAGTAACAGGCGTAAGTTGGTAACGAGAACGTGAGGAAAACCCTTATTACTTACTTACGCCTGTTACTTCCAATGGAGCATAGGCCGCCGACCACCATTCTCCAACCCACTCTGTCCTGTAGGAAACCTTGATAGTTAGTTATTTTAAAGTATATACGCTATTCATTCCACCTGAAGTATAAAACTTAACTAATATTCACTCGCTTTTCTGCTAATATATTCGTTGATTTTTTTTTAATCTTTTTTTCATTACTTTAATTGTAGTTACTTAAAACATCAGATTTATGTAAAAATGAATTGAACAATACCCAATTACAATTAAAAGAAATGATAGAACGTGAAGAATCTGCACGTTGTTTAATTCAAGAGTTAAATTCGGTAACCAACGTTTTGGGTTCATTTTTTTTCTCACATCAATTTTTGTATTTTATGAAAGTTGAGTTATTGTTTATTAATGAATCCATGACCCGCGCTTTGTTCTGTTTTGATAGTGGTAAGATATATTCCCATCTTTCTGATTATGTTCATACGGATACTTGAATTCAATAATTCCCTTGTCAAAAATGCCCAATGTGTTATCCTCTGAGATAATGAGTTCTGATATACAAACCATTTGTGTAGAGGGTATGAATTTTGTTTATATAGGTTTGTATTTTCTTGTAGTTAATATTAAGAAATGGGATTGATTAGTACTTATGTGTAAATCCTGAATAGATTATCTCGATATTGACATTTAATTACAAACTCCTATTGAAGTCTTAGTCTTTAACATCAACGACGGAAGACTACAAACCCTTGAAATGTTTTTGTATTTATTCTTTTTTATTGTTGTATTGAAGTATTTATGCATCGCAAAATTATTACATAAGTTTATCAGTTTTGATATAGCTTGGTAGCCAAGTAGAACTATTTGTGTCAGGTGTTTCGCATACGATATGGTTGACCAAACTCAACTGAGAGAGTCGAGACTTAAATCTAAGGATTAGTAGTTAAAAATTTTCATCTTGCAAAGCAGATATTCTATACGTTTTGTTTGAATCATGATGAGTGCAGTGACTATGGACGAGTAACACATATCTTAATCAAAATATATTATGTCATCAACCGATTTCACACCATGGCCTACTGATCTACATCTCAACTAAGCACGACTAGCTAGGTGGCTACACAATTTATTTGCAATACTTTGAATACTAATTTGTTTAAAGTCTACACATTTGTTCTGTTTTCATTCATCTTATTTCATAGCTGTAAAGAAATACTAAGCGGAACACTCAGCGTACTCATGCTTTGATAGTCAAATAGATCATCATAAGTGGCACAAATTATAGAAACTGCTGTGAGCTTCCCTACGACGGACAATACTTTTTTTAGTCACTAAACTGTCAGAATTAGGGAGATTTTCAAGATAATTAAAGTGGTTGACACACTTTACTGATTCATTTCTTACATCATGTGATGCATTAACGAAAACTAGTTCCGAAACACATTTTTACACCAATAGAAATAGAAATGCATTTCAAACACTCTTGGACTTCCATCCAGAAATTGAAAAAGACTGAAGGTTCATATCTGTAAATTTGTCTTTTGTTTTTTGGACTATCCTAGTACATTAGAATGTCCACTTTTAGGATTTTCTTTATTATGTGTATTGGTCAAACGATCAATTATCATCAATCAGTCAGTAAGCAACAACGTGGAACTTCGTAGGTATGTACATCAGTTCAAGTTGTTATACCACATTAGCAAAGAGATACAATTGTCGATTCAAATCCCATAGTGGTAGAGGTAGTAAAAGTATAAGCAGTATTCGGAAAGATTACGGTTTGAAGATGCTATTCAAAGAGTATAATCCGGTGAAATAAATTTGGTGTATGTATGGTTTGTCCAGTAAATATACGAATTAAGCTACAAAGTAGGTCAGTTATAAGCAACCAATCTAACGATAAGTAACATTGAGCACTAACGCTAATAATCTAGATTCAGTTCAATCTTGTCAACCTGTCATTATTCATCTGCTGATTGTTTTATTTCATAGAAGACTTGAAATGTCATCTATTCTCTGTTATATCCTCTTTTTTCTAATGTAGGTAGTTAAGGAACAAAAATCTAAGCATACAAGTGAACAAAAAGCTCATCTTCTATTACAACACAATTTAAAAGTAACGTTTTTACAATAAAGTAGATTGATATTTCTCAAAATTCATTGTTTTTGTTTTAGTTATCTGTTGTGTATTGTCTTATTATTTCCACTAATTGAGAGTCTTCTACGCTGTTAGTGACCCGGGAACCACGAATTTTCTCCACTGCTCGTCATTTCGTTTTACTCTCTTCTCTTCGCTTCTCCGATATTTTATCTCGATCAAAGATTGTATGAAATAAACGTATTCGAAATTCATTCTCATATTCAAATTACTTAATTCCGTTATTGACTAACACGATTTAATTCGATAATTATATACGAGGATTGATAATATGTATATCTCAATAACAATCAGTAACGATCTCTCTGGTATCAGATCACTAGCCACTAAAGTAGTGGGCCCGATGTGATTCGAACACGCAACCTCCTGATCAAACTGGAGTCACTGAACGCTAAATGACCGATAACCCACACAGAATTCCAATCAGTTACCCAATGTATCAATGCAAAACGCTTATGTAACCAAATGAATGAATGATTTTCTAGCGAAAATCAAAGAAACATTACCTGACTAGTTAGTTTATAAAATAGAATACGGCCAAGTTAATATTTGTTTCAGGACTAAGGGTTTCATATTAGAATTTAGGAATATTGTCAATTTATCTGTTACATACAATTTGTAAAACCGGAATTTGAGGATTTGATGCATTCAGTATTATGATTTTTTTTAAAATTTCCCGCGGTTATTTCAAACGTTTTGGACAGTGTACAAAGATATTTCTTCACGTTATTTATGACATTTTAATTTGGCGCAGAAACTTTTCTTTTCTGTTTAAACATTAAAACCTGTAACAGGACACGTGTGAATACGTAGCGCGTTTATTCTTCAACGTTCAACACGTGTGCGGTATCAAGCATTTTCAGGCATTTTTCCATTCATCTACTGAGTGTTTATATGTACTACATATAAGAGTATATTTTTCATTGAGGTATTCATTTTAAGCTCTAACTTTCATTTTGTTTGTTTTTTCCATCCTCCCGTTGGGGATGCGTCACAGTGCCGTATTCACTGATGACATATATCGACAGCTCTAGATGATTGAAACGAAATCTCCAATGAAAATTACATTCTTATATGCAGCACTCACTCACCCATAGGATAAACGGAAAGTGTTGTGTAATGCCCTTCTATTGAATATTGAAAGAAAGGATAGTTTTCCTCATACTTCAAACTCATGTGATTTCGTATATCTCCATGAATAAATCACAATGTACTAGAAACCAGCATATTTATGTTACCAATTCAGTAACAGGTTTATAGTTAATTTACTTTAATTTACGAATGATCAAGGACATTTATAATCAGAAGTGGTTTTGTGGAGATTTTAGGAATTTCAATGGTTGAAATCATGAGCCAATTGAAGCTAGACCACCATGGAAAACCTGGAAGCACTGGACGGCCGTTACGTCCTAGTATAGGAGTCCTCAGCAGTGTTAATAGAGCTGATCATGTATACACATTGATCAGGATATCGGTTCATCTATTTATAAGATTGGTCAAGTAGAAATTTCCCTGATGATATTGTGCATCAAATTTACTAACATCTAATAATATTATTATCATTCCCAACAAAACAGCTTTAGTTACTTACTTACTTAAGCCTGTTACTCCCAATGGAGCATAGGCCTCCGACCAGCATTCTCCATCCCATTCTGTCCTAGACCTTCCTTTTTTGTTCTATCCAATTATTGTTCATTCTTTTCATTTCTGCCTCCATTTTTCAGTGTTATATGTTCTTTGGTCTTGCTCTTTTCCTTTGTTCTTGAGTATTCCAAGTGTGGGCTTACCTTGTGATGCAATTGGACTTTAGTTACCTTCATCGTAAATTAAGTTCTCTACTTGTGATTATTTATTCTTCCTTTGGTCAATCAGTTATGAACAATGTACGACATAGAAATAATATATAAGGTGTGTCGCATATCATATCATCAGAAATAACTACTAAATCGTGATAATAAGTGACCATTTATGACAGTTTCAAGGTAAATTTACAAGAAGTTTATGTAATAATCTTGACTCGAACTATTCTGTTCTATGAAAATGATTATCAAGAAACTTCAGTTATTATTATAGTATACGTTTGTTTACAAGATAATTTATTGGATATCCCAAGTTATACGGTTAATAGTTTCACGTATATACTTCATAGAGTATTTCTTCAACTCTAATAGATATCATTTAGTTTAACTATCATAGAATACATTAATTTATTTCCATATTATCTTTATTTATTTGACAGGAACGTATTGCAACTTTGGAAATGCATTTAGAAGAAGCACAAACACGAATTAGAAATCATGAAAATTTACGAAAGGTTATTGCTTTTATACCTATGACGCGTATACATGAACTATAGTAACTGTTCCTAAATAATTCTTATCAAACATTTTGGGATGCATAATTTGTTTGATTGGATGCGGAGAATCCATCTAGGGGAGTTTCAAAACCCTGATTCCAAACCAATGGTGCACATGGACTCCAGTATCCTGAAGGAACAAATAGCATATGAACCAGTCATTGGTCACCGGCTACTATGAGACTGCATCATCTGACGTTGTTTCACTGCCTTGTGGATCAGACCTTTAAGTCGAAGACTCTGAATGTGGCCCACTAATAAAACCATCTGCTTCGGTCAGGGCACCCGAGCAGTATGATAGCCTACACTTTTGTGGCACATAAATATTCGGTGCCCCTTCAAATAAATAAATTCCTCATTGAACCTAAAGCGTCGATTATGAGAATACTTATACATTGTTTACGAATCTTGGATTAATTACACAGGAAAAATGCATTCACTTCAACATTTCTTTATTAGTGTATAAATGAGAATAGAAAAATAACTTACTTTTTGAATAAGTTATACAGATCAAGCGAATAGAAGTATCTGTTGAACAATCATTTGCTACTAATCCATTATGAGTAATCTATCCTTAGGTTGAGTCATGTTAACTATATTCAAACAGCTTTAGTTAATCATTATAGTTATTATCAGAAGGGGTTTTGTGGAGATTGTAGTAATTTCATTGATTAAGATCATGAGTCGGTTGAAGCTAGACCAGGTTTTCCATGGTGGTCTAGCTTCAACCGACTCATTATAGTTATGTAAAATTTGATTTAGTAAAATTTCATTATCTTGTCTGTTTGTTTATTACAGGAATTGAAACAACAAAAAGCCGAAATGACAGCTCAAGAATCAATTATAGCTGGATTAAAAGCTGAAAGACGTAATTGGAGTGAAGAATTGGCTAAGCAAGGTTAATATTAATTTAGTCATTATTTAAATTCAATTGATATTGTTTTAATTGAATTTTCCCATTGCTATTTGAGACTGCAATTGATCAGTTTCATTTTGGCATATGTGCATCCTGTGCGGATTGACTCGATATAGTCATAAGTCTCAAGCTTTTCAAGAAAAAAATGGATAGTGGCTAGCCGTGGAATTCAGGAAGCGTGTTTCATCCTGTTTGGGACACGTTAGCTGGATGTATCTCTATCCATCTTTGCTTACAACATCTTAAATGTTAACTTAATGTATATCTAATTATCCCCTCAACATTCAAATATACCGAACAAACACAGTTAAGCGCTTCAAAGATTAGAATTTTCAAAGCGAAAAAACCGTTGCATCTATGTGTCATTTTGGGGAAATAGTAGTAATAAAATGGTAGTCACAACTTGTTCATGCATAGTATACTCTCTTTAAAAACTCTCATTAGAGAAGTCATATTAAGCGATATCTGTTGTTCATATTTTAGAAAACCCTTGGTAGATCTAGTTTTACTGAACTTTCAGCTTGTAAAAACTGAATTCAGCTAATACTAAATCTCAGATTCAAAATTAATAGTCGAACAAATGAACGGATGGTGACACGATTTCGTGGATTGCTTAAAGTTAGACATTAACACCGTTGGATGCCGGATCAGTGGTCTAGATCTTAGGCGTTCGCGCGAGAGACCGAAGGTTCTGGGTTCGAGTCCCGCGTGCGGGATCTTGGGTGCTCACTGCTGAAGAATCCTATACTAAGAAGAAACGGCACTCCAGTGCTTCCGGTTTTCCCATGGAGATCTGGCTTTAGTCGACTCATGAATTCAAGTAATAAATAGAAACAATAGTTAAAATCATGACAAATTCTATAATGATTCCAAGTTAATACGATTGACTTTTAAACTATAAAGTTCTTTGTGTTATAACTTGGAGCCCTCTGCCCTATTAATATATAAAGTAATGATCCTGCTAATTAGAGAACAGTGATTTATTAACCGGACGAATGATGTATAAACTAGTTCGAGCAGTCTAGAGTCCTTATCGATCTTGCTTCATTAGTAGCCTTGCCTGTTAAAGTTCAGAACACTAATCTCAGCCTCCGCGGTATGAATCACTTATTTCAAACATACTGGGTTTATATATCAACCAAACAGACCACATCGTACCATAAAATAGGAAACAACATTTGTACAAGATTTAGCCAAATGTGGCTGTGGGTGTGGTAGGTACTAATCAATAGACAGGGCATAACTCAAGAATGGTAAATCGTATAATCATAGATCATAGATAAAAATGAAGCTTATGATAAGAGAAAGATGAATACGAATAGTTTGGCTACTTAACAACTATGCAATAAGAATACATGTATCGTATTAGTCCAGAAATAGATTCCAACAATTACCAGTCATTATTCTCATCGGGATATACCAATTTAAATAAGAAAGATTAGTTCAGCGAAGAGTTCTCTTTTCGCCGAATTCATTTTCAAAGCTGTACAATCGTAGATATATATGTACTTATTTTTACAGGATGATAATAATACTGATAATAAACTTCAGTTAAACATGGTGACAGTGAGGTTAAATAAACAAAGGTATTAGAAATTTTTTTTTAAAACCAGGAAAGTTTAATAATCGTTTGATTGTTAATGACTTAAGTATTCATCAAAAGACAGAGAGAGAAAATTATCATTTAAGAAAGGATGGCTCAGCAAGATAAGATGTTGAGATTGGGATGAAATGTAATCGGAATGATCATGGGAATAAAAACAAACCAGTTGGGGGTAGAAGATTTAAGGGGAAAATGGAAGGTGAAGCAGATGGCTGTAAAGGAACAAGAGAGAAATTTTAATACATCAAGACCATGGTAAAATAAGAGGTTGTACCAGTCTCTTTTGCACGCACAATTCTGGTTTTCCCAGATGTATGGTTATTGCTTCGGCAATGCAAAGAAGATGCAGTCTAATTGCCTTAGGAAGACTTCTAATTACCTTGTAGATGACTTTGAACGCAGAGTCTGTCTTGATTGAGTGATCTGTGTTCACAAGGTTTTCGATAATAGAACTTCTTATTGAGCCATTGCCTCCTCTCTTTAGCGATGCCGGACAATGTTCTTCAATTCTTTCGGATAAAGTACTCATCGAACGACCTATATACCTAGCTCCAGAAGAGCAGGTAAATTTATAAGTGCATATTAAGTTGGTCAGAGGCGATAATTTATTTTTCAAATTATTGGAGAACAATGATCGGCTGGAGAATAATATTCGCAATGTTGCTGCAAAGAATGTTCTTTTTAAGGAATTCGAAATTCTCCTCTTCAATTTGATCACATATATTTTAAAGTCAAAAGTTTCACCATTTATTTATTGTATCCATAAATTTTCTATCTATTCCTGTTACTATTTTCATTTGGCTTGTTCAAGTTTGACTTCTGTTCCGTAGCTGCTACCTTGACGTGGTGGTCGGGCTTGCCTATCGCGATGACCCAACCGAGCTATATTGGCTGGAACACATGTTCCTGCAGGTTCTACTATGCCAGACAGGTAGATTGGAGAACGGCAAGACTAAAAGCAGCAACTCAAGGTCTGAGGGCGAAGTCGTACTGCTGACTGTACAGAGGTGTGACAGCATTAAGATGTTTCCCTCGGACAACCAGTATCTGCAGCGATGCTGCCTTCTCACAAGTAAGGAAGGGGTTAGAAAAGGTTGACCCTAAAAATGTCACACCTCACCTTACCCCACGGATTTCCGTCTCCGGCGGTAAGGCCGTTTGAAGAACGGAGCTAACACATTAAAAACCTCCCACAAAAAGGCCGTGCGCGACCGGCCTCAAGCAGTTGTCCCTTGGGCTCTGCGGTCACGCACCCAGGTCGCTAAGAAAAACACTAATCCGATTTCCTTTTCAGGTTCCTCAAAAATACCCTTCCACAGTGTGGGCAGCCGGGAAGTGATGTCAACTCTCATACCCGTAACAACACACGAGACCAAGTTGGTCACATTCAAATCCTTTCTACACCTCCTAATAACTCTCTTATCTCCACGACTAACCCTTTTTACGTCCCTTTATCACCTCGCCCCGCTAGTGCGATTGATTCGAGTACGCGGAATGTTATTCCTGGCCTCCTGAAGCCACGCCCTAAACTACATGTAGGAGCTTTCAACGTCCGAACACTGTGCCAAATAGGACAACAGGCTTCCTTAGCTAAGACTTTAGAGTCTCGCTCCGTCGATCCTAGTAGTGTCATTCATTTGACCTCCCCATGTCAAAGTGACGAACCAACTCGATTTACGCTTCGTGTATCTAAAAGCCCTGTTTCTGCTTCCCGTAGCTTCGCTGGCGTAGGTTTAGCATTGAGTCCTAAGGCAGAACTAGCTCTCTTAGACTGGATCCCAGTAGACATTCGTTTGTGTGCTGTCCGACTAAAAGGAACAGTAAGGACTCGGAAAGATAGGGACACTCGTCGTTGCCTCTTCGTCGTCTCTGCCTACTCTCCCACTGACTGCAGCTAAGATGATATAAAAGATGAGTTTTACAGAAAGCTTTCCGACCTTCTCCGAAAAACTAGACGTTCAGATGTAGTAATAGTGGCTGGTGACTTTAATACTCAAATAGGTAAACTTAAGCGAAAGGGAAAGACACCTGGGTGGATCTTATGGTGTCGCGGCTCAAAGAACAGATAACGGCGACCGCCTGTTGCAGCTATGCTCAGATGACCGCCCTTTTCTTGCAAACACTAACTTTAAGCATAAGGAAAAACATCTTTTAACATGGCGACCCCCTAATTCGTCTCAACGCTGGACCCAAATAGATCATATCGCTATCAGCCACCGATGGAGGGGCTCGATAGAAGACTGTCGCTCATTCTGGAGCACATGCTTAGACTCAGATCATGCTCTAGTGCGAGCGCGTATTTGTCTACGTCTTACTGGACGTAGGAAACACGCTGCAAGGAAACTCCTTAGGGTCCTACTAAATGATAGTCAAGCTAAGAGTATATTTCAGGAACAACTAGAAAAACAGTTAGACAGCCGTGTAAGTGATACCCACCCCGAGGCAGCTTGGAATGACATCCGAAAAGCTGTAGAAACAGCAGTGATGTCTGCAAGTACGGTAAACCATTAGGTTAGGGAGAAACACTGGTTCTCAGCAGCATCTACCACACTGATAGATGCTCAAGAACTCATTCCATCTGGCTCTGAACATAACGAAGAGCGGAGTCAGCTTAAGCGTAAGCTGACTAGAAGCTTACGCAATGATCGTGAACAGTGGTGGGTAGCGAAAGCAAGAGAGATGGAAAAGGCAGCGGCAATAGGTAACAGCAGTAAACTGTTCAGACATGTTAAGGAAACCGGTATTAGGAACCCAACTGTTAGCGAAACAATCTCAGAGAAAGATGGATCGATAGGCAGAACACTTTAGGGATCAGTTCATCTGCCTTTCAGCCAATCTTTGGTTTCCCACGATCTCTAGTCTACCTGAATGGCAAGTTAATGTAAGTCCTCCGACTCTTTACGAAGTTGAAAAATCTATAGGAAGTCTGAAGTGTGGGAGGGAAGCAGGCCCTCACAGGTTTACCCCAGAGATTTTTAAGGATGGTGGTCCAGTATTAGCAGTGAGATTGACTGAGGTCTTAGGCAGAATCTGGAAACTGGACGTAATCCCATCTGACTGGTCTCAATCAGTGATTGTGCCAGTCTATAAGAAAGGACAAAAGTCCTCCTGTGACAATCACAGAGGAATTAGTTTGACTAATATAGTGTCTAAAATATTAGCTTCAATAATACTTCGACGTCTAACCAAAGCTTGTGAAGAGCAGACTAGAAAAACCAGGCTGGTTTTTGACCTGGACGTGGTTGTATAGATCAAATATTCACACTACGTCAGGTCCTAGAACATAGACACACATTCCGACGCCCCACAAGTAGGTTACATTCCATCATCTTATTTAGTTCAAGCTAATTCTGTTGAAGCTGAAGAGTGAGTTATCTTAATCTTGATGTTTATTCATGCATCAATTAATCTTCTCGTTTTTAATGAAATAAAACTAACAACTACATAGATATGCTTAGTATAGTAAGTTTGTAATGATTGTTGGATTCATGGATTGATTGTAGTTAGATAATCATTTAAAATCACAAATTACTGGGTAATAGTTTCATTCTAGTGCTTCCTAGTTTTCCGCGGTTGTCTAACTATGATCTTCTTATGATGTAAACTGTGAGAATGTACGTATTTGTTTTACTTACCAGTCAATTTGTCATGTATATTGATTTATAACATTAAATGTTATTTCTCGACATTAAGGCGGCATGTGACTCTGTTGATCGTGAGGTTCTATGGCAGTGTTTGTCACTGAAAGGAGTACCAAAGAAGTACATTAACCTTATAGAGGCTCTCTACTCGAACACAACTGGTAGAGGGAGAGCTTATGGCGAACTGTCATCAGAATTGATTACCTCAAGTGGTGTTTGTCAGGGCTGTCCACTCTCTCCATTCTTGTTTAACTTTGTCGTTGACGTTGACTTAGAATATGCCGATGACATAGTTCTATTTAGTGAAGACGCTGACAGAATGCAGAGTCTGCTGACCACTCTAAGCAACAATGCAGGCATGTTCGGCATGCGATTTTCTCCCTCGGAATGCAAAATGTTGCTTCAGGATTGGGTTGCGTCGACACCCGAACTAGTGATAGGGAGTGAAGCAGTTCAGCGTGTCGACTGCTTCACTTATCTCGGAAGTCTCATCAGCCCTTGTGGTTTGGTGTGTGACGAAATCTCAGCACGGATACAGAAGGCTCGACTAGCTTTTGCCAACTTGCGTCATTTGTGGCGTAGGCGAGATATCCGTCTATCAACCAAAGGACGTGTTTACTGCGCAGCAGTTCGTTCCATCCTACTTTATGACAGTGAAGCATGGCCAGCAAGAGTAAAGGATATTCGTAGGTTACTAGTATTTGATCATAGGTGTCTTCGAAACATTGCTCGTATATCCTGGGACCATCGAGTAAGTAATGCAGTTGTTAGGAAACGGGTACTAGGTAAGGATGGCAAACCAATTGATGAAGTAGTGAAACTTAATCAGTTGAGATGGCTGGGACATGTGTTGCGCATGCCCGACCACTGACTGCCCCGATGTGCTATGTTTTCTGGTGTAGGAGTAGGTTGGAAGAAAGCTAGGGGCGGACAGACCAAAACATGGCAGAAATCCATGAAGTCACTGACAAGTGGACTGAGCCATGTTGGTAGGTGTAGACTACCTGGTTGGGGACCGCGAGACGTTAGCAACCGATGGTTAGAGACATTGAATGACATTCTCAAAATCGTTTGCAATGGCACAGGTGCATCCACTTTTTGTATTCTCTCAAACTCTAATCTTCTGTATTCTTCATGTCCTTTATTTTCTTTCCAAATTTATTCCACTGGATTATACTCCTTTAATAACACCATCAAGCCCTAATGTTCCCTATCACTACTTATACTTTTAGTACCTCTACCACTACGGGATTTGAATCGATAACTGAATCTCTGTGCTAATGTAGTATGGCAACTCGAACTGATGTACGTACGTACGAAGTTCCACGTTGTTACTGACTGACTTTTTTTATTTTATTCATAATTTATCCAAAAATTATTAGACTAAGACATGTTCTGTGAGGTATTGATGAAATCAATTCTCCCCATAGAAACAGTTAGATAATTAGTGATTGTTTCATAATAGTTTATATTATCTCATTATTAGAAAAATGAGAATTATGACATCTTTTGTGGATTACTTTCTATATTTGACATGTCTTAAATGGGATAAAATATGCATCCTGTATATATACTATTGCCAACCATAGTCCAAATATGTATTCTTTTAGATATAGTCCACTATTTCTTTGATGCTGTTCTTTTAAACGAGCCAAAAAGAGCCTAAACTTGTAGGTTTCAGCTGTAGAGATGTGTATTTTGTTGTACTTTAACATGTTCATTTCTACATTATTACAATAAATACTACTGGCATAATTGTTGTTTTATATTGTTTTAATGTTAGGATCAGCTTTAGCTCAAGATCGTGGACGATTAGAAGCTAAAATTGAAGCTCAAGAATTAGAAATAGCCAGTCTTAAAAAATCTCTTGAAGTATGTATCTTCTGTTTTAACATAATTTAATCATTCGATTTATGTGTGGGCTGTGATACTGTCCGTGTTCCCATATGGAAGCAGGTAGTTTTCTTAGGGGGCCATATCCCGAGCCTTTGACCTAAAAGTGTAAATGACAGGAGATGCAGTACCATGGTAGCCGGTGACCATCAATTGATTCATACGCCGTTTGTTCCTTCAGGATTGCGGGACCCATGTACACCAGTAGCTTGGAATGAGGGCTTTCCAACTCCCCTAAGTAGATCTTCCATATCCACCAACCCGGTTAAAGCGCCGGATATTCGCTTTTCGTCCTTTCAATTTCGTAAACAACAGTAATGCAGAGAGAAGGCATTTACTCTGACTTCCCTGTCAGTGGTTGTATGCGTGTGGCCACGTGTGAGCATTTGGAGAAAGAAAGGTGACTCTTCCCACTTTCGGCCGTACCAGAGCATTTGAGATGAAGATTAGCAATATTGTCTTGTCAGGTTTTCAGAGTTGCTTCTACTATGAATTAATGTTAATCTAATCACTGAAAGAAATTATATAATATTTAACATTTGTTTAACATCAATCTGGTATTAGTTGTTTATTTCGCATTATTTAACGTTGATTTGTTAACCCTAGCACTTGTCTAAATCATCAAAAGATCAAAATATACCAGGAACTGTTTTATCCAAGCAGCATTGTATAGTAGCTTCTCAGGAAATGAAGAATCATTTGTCATATTTTTTTGATTGAATAATTACCTATACCATTCTTATGTTTACTGTGTTTTCAGAAAGCTTTAGAGGTTCGAGATCACATATAAATCACTTAATACTAATTCAAGCTCCTATTCACATCTCTCACCTTTTCTCTGTTGTTCCAATTGGCGTGCAAATTTAGTCTAGTATTCTAGGAAGTAGCTATGAAAAACAGCAATAAACGTTCCATTAGTAGACCTGTCAGTACTGACTTGATTTTGTTATAATTTCCGAAGGAAACAGTTTGTATTTTACTGTTCAATTGTCATTGTGATTGGTTATTATAAGCGTACTGATCTATAATAAACACTGAGTCTATAATCAATCCCACTAAATCTAAACTCAAATTTTATATTAAAGATATGAAATTCCATAGTTCATTGTTAATAAGTGAAACAATAACTTTTAGTGACTCATCATCAGGTAGGTACCTGATGGTTAATCAGTACAATTCCCCATTCATATGTGACTAATAAACAACTGAATATGTAACCACGTTAAATCTTAATACAAATTGATATCGTCAGAGTATATCAATAATTATTATTATCTTCTAATTCGTCTTTAGAATGAAAATGACTCCGTTAAAATCAAGAGTAAAGTAATTGATGACCAAACAGAGACAATATTGAACTTAAAAAAGGTAAGTATCAGTAAAAATCTAAGTAATAACATGGGTAAACAACCATTGAAAAAATTAGAAGCAGTGGACAGTTGTTTCATATTGGTATAAGTCTCCTCAACAGTGTCCACCCACGATCTTCGATCTCATACGCGAACGCCCAACCTCTAGGTCACTGGACAGGGATCTAATGGTGTACAAGTCTAATTTCAATCAATCCGCGATACTGCGCAACCACTGTCTTTGGTGGATACCTACCTCAAAGCCGACAACTGCACTGGCCATGACTATTCATTAGAACTCCGTAAATTTTCTCTCCAAGATAGCTTTGAAATGGTTAGGGTCCTAGGTTCTATCTCTAGTGACGGATTTGTGGATACACACTAGTTAAGAGTCTCATACTCAGACAAAAACAACTGTTCATTACCCATACTGATAACTATTTATTTTATTAGTAGTTAACCATCACATGTTATGCGTATCGTTTTTATGAGGGAGTAATGAACTCATGAAGTCACTGAAATAAAAAATGTAATCTAACTGATGATTTACTCATTGAGAATCCAGTCATTAAATCTCCGACGAATACGTTCCAATAGACAATCACCAACCAACTGGTTATATATATGGCTTGAAAAAAACGTCATTGTATGGTTATGATATAATTAGTCTTATAATAATCAACTCTTTTTAGGTTAAGGATTCATCCAGTTTTTTTATTATGGGCTTTTGAAGTTGTTTTTTATTACATTCTTGTTTATTTTATGGTAGCTTCTACTGTTTAAGAAGTACTATTTGGAAAATTGACTATACAGCTCTTGTTTATAGTTGACAACTAGTTAATTTACCATAAACTTACTGTCAGGCTTTTGAAAATGGTCAATGGGAATCCTCGAATCTGGATTGTATACTAGTTAGCAATTGTTAGTTATATATACCTGAAATCCATATGAAAGTGGTGTCTCCTCCAAGATTCGAACCCAGTGGCATAGACGGACGCTATCACTGAACGTATATCATAGCGATATGAAAACCACAGAAAAAAGTCGATATTTGATACCCAACCGAAATAAAATTACGAGTTGAAGACAAAGAGCTCTTCCTAGCAGTATTTGTGTAGTTTGAACTTTGAAAATGTTTCATAGCAGTACTTTACTTACTTACTTACTATGAAACTAGTACCAATACAGCTTATAACTTCAGTAAAGGAGACATTCTACTGCGTATTAACGATAAATTGGAGATTGAGGAAAATAATTTCGATATTTTCTTCCAAAAACTGAATATCTTTTCATCTTTATCAGATAATCTGTATTCAACCAACCAATATCTGTCTAGAGATCGTTGAAGAACAAAGAAGAAAATGATCGTACCAAATCTAAAGAACACTTGATTGATCTTAATTCTGTAAATAACGCATGACCATTCAGTAATGACTAAAGATGCTTGACTTTGAATTAAAACATGTGAATGCATTATGGATTCTATTTCGTAATAAACATTGATCAGGATCTCTACTGGAAAAGCTTAGAAGTATTGTACAGTGGAAATTTTAAACTTTCTGGTTAATATCAGAAGGGATTTTGTGGAGATTGTAGTAATTTTAATAATTGAGATCATGGGTCAATTGAAGCTAGACCACCATGATTAAGCGCTCGCGCGCAAGACTGATAGGTCCTGGGTTCGAATCCCTCAAGGCGGAGTCGTGGATGCGCACTGCTAAGGATTTCCACAATAGAACGAAACAGCCATCCAGTGCTTCCAGGTTTTCCATGGTGGTCTAGCTCCAATTGACTCATGATCTCAACTATAATAATTTTAGTTAATCTTTAAGTGAATAATGTAGTTTAATACAGATTACCTTTACTATTAGAAACTCTTTACTTTGATTCAAACAGGAATGACTATAATAATCCCCTATTGTTCTTTCTAACTGTATCTAACCCAAAACGTAAATCGTTCTGGGAATATTTATTAATAGAAGGTATAGTAAAATACATTAGCCAGCCAATTACTGCACATCGATACATATATAAAACCTTTGAAAGTAGAGAACTTTTATGTTTATATATTAGTAGTAGTATAACTAAACTCCGCCTGGAGCCCCTTTCCGGGGGCTACTGCCGGTCCCAAGCCCGGATAAAGGAGGAGGGTTGGGCATGGGGTTAGCGACCCCATCCCGTAGAAAACTAACTCGCTAAAAAAACGCTAACCAGAAAGAATTATTCAAACCATTTAAACTCTGCCCTGGGAGTCAGAAGGTCTTCGTTTAGAAGAATTATGACGCCTCATGATGAAAGCCGAGTTTCTTCGGAAGTCACGAGGCCGATGCCCCTTCTGACAACCAGAGCAACCATTTATTTAGGTACGTGGAATGCTCGCACAATGTGGGAGACTGGGAGAGTTTTCCAAATCGCTGCAGAAATGAGGAGATACAACCTAGAGATGTTTGGGATCAGTGAAACACATTGGACGCAAGTTGAACAACAACGACTAGCTTCAGGAGAGCTGCTGTTTAACTCCGGACATGAACAAGAAAATGCATCACATACACAAGCAGTAGCATTGATGCTGTCCAAACAAGCACAAAATGCACTTATAGGATGGGAATCTCATGGACCAAGGATCATCAAAGCCTCCTTCAAAACAAAGAAAACGGGGATTACAATGAACGTCATCCAATGCTACGCGCCTACCAATGACTACAATGAAGACGCTAAAGATCAATTCTACGATAGGCTGCAGTCAATTGTCGAGAAGTGCCCAACAAAAGACCTGACTATTCTAATGGGAGACCTAAATGCCAAGGTTGGAACTGACAACACCGGATATGAAAAGGTCATGGGACGACACGGACTGGGAGAAAGGAACGAAAATGGTGAGAGATTTGCAAATCTATGTGCCTTCAATAAACTGGTCATAGGCGGGACTATATTCCCACATAAACGCATACACAAAACCACATGGACTTCACCGGATCACACCACACAGAACCAAATCGACCATATCTGCATCAACAAAAAGTTCAGGAGGACGATGGAGGACGTGAGAACAAAGAGAGGAGTTGATATAGCATCAGATCATCACTTGCTGGTCGCCAAGATGAAATTGAAACTCAAGAGGCACTGGACAACGGGGAGGACAATATCACAAAAATTTAATACGGCTCTTCTTCGGGATACTGACAAACTCAATAAATTCAAGATAACCCTCAGCAATAAGTTCCAAGCCTTTCATGATCTACTCAATGGAGAAGGAACTACTATGGAGAGCAACTGGAAAGAGATAAAAGAAGCAATCACTTCAACATGTCATGAGGTTCTGGGCCAAAAGAAGCACCATCACAAGGATTGGATCACGGTCGATACACTGGATAAGATTCAAGAAAGGAGGAACAAGAAAGCAGCAATCAATACCAGTCGAACAAGAGCAGAAAAAAGTCAAGGCACAGGCTGAATACACAGAAGTAAACAAGCAAGTGAAAAGGAGCATCAGAACTGACAAACGCAAATATGTGGAGGATTTGGCATTGACGGCGGAAAAGGCTGCCAGAGAAGGAAACATGAGACAACTGTATGACACAACAAAGAAACTCTCTGGAAATCACCGTAAACCAGAACGACCAGTGAAAAGCAAGGAAGGCAAGATAATCACCAACATTGAAGAACAACGAAACAGATGGGTAGAACACTTCAAAGAACTCTTGAATCGACCAGCCCCACTGAACCCACCCAACATCGAAGCAGCACTCACGGACCTCCCAATTGATGTTGGCGCACCGACAATTGAAGAGATCAGCATGGCTATCAGACAAATCAAGAGTGGCAAAGCAGCAGGACTAGACAGCATTCCAGCAGAGGCACTGAAAGCAGACGTAGCGGCAACTGCAAGGATACTCCAAACTCTCTTCAAAAAGATCTGGGATGAGGAACAGGTACCAAAAGACTGGAAAGAAGGACTTCTAGTCAAAATACCAAAGAAAAGCGATCTCAGCAACTGTGACAACTACAGGGGAATCACTCTTCTTTCAATACCAGGAAAAGTCTTCAACAGGGTATTGTTAAACAGGATGAAGGACTCCGTAGACGCACAACTTCGAGACCAACAGGCAGGATTCCGTAAGGATAGATCGTGCACAGACCAAATCGCAACTCTACGGATCATTGTGGAACAATCAATTGAATGGAATTCATCACTCTATATCAACTTCATCGACTACGAAAAAGCATTTGATAGCGTGGACAGAACAACCCTATGGAAGCTTCTTCGACACTACGGCGTGCCTCAGAAGATAGTCAATATCATACAGAATTCCTATGATGGATTAAACTGCAAAATCGTGCATGGAGGACAGTTGACAAAGTCGTTCGAAGTAAAGACTGGTGTTAGGCAAGGTTGCTTACTCTCACCCTTTCTCTTTCTCCTGGTGATCGACTGGATCATGAAGACATCAACATCTGAAGGGAAGCACGGGATACAGTGGATAGCTAGGATGCAATTGGATGATCTAGACTTTGCAGATGATCTGGCTCTTCTATCGCATACACAACAACAAATGCAGGAAAAGACAACCAGTGTAGCTGTAGCCTCAGCAGCAATAGGTCTCAATATACACAAAGGGAAAAGCAAGAGTCTTCGATACAACACAGCATGCACCAATCCAATCACAATTGACGGAGAAGCTTTGGAAGATGTAAAAACCTTTACATATTTGGGCAGTATCATCGATGAACACGGTGGATCTGACGCAGATGTGAAGGCACGGATTGGCAAAGCAAGAGCAGTATATTTACAACTGAAGAATATCTGGGACTCAAAACAATTAGCAACCAACACCAAAGTCAGAATTTTCAATACAAATGTGAAGACAGTTCTACTGTATGGGGCGGAAACCTGGAAAACTACGAAATCCATCGTCCAAAAGATACAGGTGTTTATTAACAGTTGTCTACGCAAAATACTTCAGATCCGCTGGCCGGACACTATAAGCAACAACCTACTGTGGGAGAGAACAAATCAGATCCCAGTGGAGGAAGAAATCAGGAAGAAGCGCTGGAAGTGGATAGGACACACATTGAGGAAAACACCCAACTGCGTCACAAGACAAGCCCTCATATGGAATCCTCAAGGTCGAAGGAGGAGAGGAAGACCAAAGAATACATTACGCCGGGAAATGGAGATAGATATGAGAAAAATGAACAAGAATTGGATGGAACTAGAAAAGAAGGCCCAGGACAGAGTGGGTTGGAGAATGCTGGTCGGCGGCCTATGCTCCATTGGGAGTAACAGGCGTAAGTAAGTAAGTAGTATAACTAGCCAATAGGAATAAGCACCTTCAAAAGAAAGAGTTGCTATCATAGAGAATAGATGTCTTGGATTCAATAAAACATAAATGATAAACTGCTTTGTTGTAAATAAATAATTTTTATTTATTTATTTATTTATTTAGTGTATTCAAGAGAATCAAATTGAAATAAAACGATTACAAAATGAAGGTATACAAAATCGTCATCATTTAGAGAGTCAATTAAAACAGAAAATTCAAGTAAATACAGAATTGGATGTAAGTTGAATAGTTGAAGTTGATGTGTATTTACAATTTATTGTTCTTTATTGTTAGACTGTTAATCTAAAAGGTTTTGGTAAATATGAGTGCTTGTTTTTAATGTACTTTTTAGTATCTTAAACAAAAACAAAAAAATTAAAAATATCCATTTGCCATCTTTCAAATGATTCTCAAAAATTGATTTGTTTTAGAATAAATTGAATTTGATTAAGCTAATCCACAATCTTGCCCCGTGGAATTCGAACCCAGAACCTATAAATCTCGCGTGTGAACGCTTAACGTTTAGACCATTGAGCCCACATTCATTAGTCTTAATGTCTAACTTCAACTAATCCACGAAATTGAGCGATACCATTGTCTTCAGTGAGTTACTAACTGGCAACAGACCCGGTTGAACACCACTGGTCATGGCTTCTCACTAGAACTCGAGGAAATATTTCTTGAAGCCAGTCACTAATTAGCATATGATTATTGTTATCAGAAACTCCACCTGTAGCTCTCCTAGAGTTACTGCCGGTCCCAAGCCCGGATAAAGGAGGAGGGTTGGGCATGGGGTTAGCGTCCCCATCCCGTAGAAAACTAACTCGCTAAAAAAATGCTAACCAGAAAAAATAACTCAAACCATTTAAACTCTGCCCTGAGAGTTAGAAGGTCTTCACTTAGAAGAGTTATGATTCCTCATAATGAAAGCCGATTTCCTTCGGAAGTCACGAGGCCGATGCCCTTTCTAACAACCAGAGCAACAATTTTTATAGGTACATGAAACATCCGGACAATGTGGGAGACCGGGAAGACCAATCAAATAGCAACGGAAATGAAAAGATACAACTTGGCAGTACTTGGAATCAGCGAAACCCATTGGATCCAAGTTGGACAACAAAGTCTAAGTACGGGAGAGATGCTGCTATACTCCGGTCACGAAGAGGAAAATGCTCCACACACTCAGGGAGTTGCTCTAATGCTGTCCAAATTAGCACAAAATGCCCTTGTAGGATGGGAATTTCACGGATCCATAATCATCAAAGCATCATTCAAAACAAAGAAGGAGGGGATCACAAGAAACATTATCCAATGTTATGCACCCACCAATGATAGCAACGACGACGTTAAGGATCAATTCTATGAGAGGCTGCAATCAATCATAGAGAACTGCCCGAGAAAGAACCTCACCATTCTGTTAGGAAATCTAAACGCCAAAATTGGAATAGACAACACCGGATATGAAGATATCATGGGACTGCATGGACTGGGAGAGGGGAACGAAAACGCGGAAAGATTTGTAAATCTGTGTGCATTCAACAAATTGGTCATAGGCGGCACAATATTTCCACACAAACGTATGCACAAAGCTACATGGATCTCACCGGACCACACCACGGAGAACCAGATAGATCATATTTGCATCAATAAAAAGTTCCGAAGGACAATGGAAGATGTGAGAACCAGGAGAGGAGCGGACATAGCTTCAGATCACCACCTGGTTGTGGCCAATTTAAAACTGAAGCTAAAGAAGAACTGGACAAACAGCGCTGCGAAATTTCAATACAGCCTACCTTCGAGATACTGACAAACTCAATGAATTCAAGGTAGCTCTCAACAACAGGTTCCAAGCCCTACAGGATCTACTGAAGGAAGAAGAAACTACTATGGAGGATAACTGGAAAGGTATCAAAGAAGCATTAACTTCAACGTGTCAAGAGGTTCTGGGCTTCAAGAAGCATCATCATAAGGAATGGATCTCTATAGAAACACTGGACAGGATCAAAGAAAGGAAGAACAAGAAGACAGCAATTAACAATGGTCGAACACGAACAGAGAATGTTCAAGCAAAAGATGAATACATAGAAGCAAACAAGCAAGTGAAGAAGAGCATTTGAGCCGAAAAGCAGAAATACGTGGAAGAACTAGTAACGACGGCGGAGAAAGCTGTAAGAGAAGGAAATATGAAACAGCTCTACGATACAACGAAGAAACTAGCAGGGAAATATAGTAAACCAGAGAGACCAGTCATAGACAAAGAAGGAAGACCGATCACTGAGATTCGGCAACAGCGGAACAGATGGGCAGAGTATTTCGAGGAACTCCTGAATAGGCCGGCGCCAATGAATCCACCGGACATCAAAGCAGCACACACAGATCTTCCTATAAATGTCAATCCACCAACAACCGAAAAAATCAGAATGGCCATCAGACTAATCAAGAGCGGGAAAGCAGTAGGACCCGACAATATACCAGCTGAAGCACTGAAGTCAGACATCGAAGTAACTACGAACATGCTTCATCTTTTATTCAAGAAGATTTGGGAGGAGGAACAAGTGCCGATGGACTGGAAGGAAGGACACCTCATCACGATTCCAAAGAAAGGAGACCTGAGCAAGTGTGAAAATTACAGAGGCATTACACTACTTTCAGTACCAGGAAAAGTCTTTAACAGAGTGTTACTGAACAGGATGAAAGACACAGTAGACGCTCACCTTCGAGATCAACAAGCTGGATTCCGTAAAGACCGGTCGTGCACAGACCAGATTGCGACACTACGGATCATCGTCGAACAATCAATTGAGTGGAACTCGTCACTCTACATCAATTTCATTGATTATGAGAAGGCATTTGACAGTGTAGATGGGAAAACGTTATGGAAAATTCTTCGACACTACGGAGTTCCTGAGAAGATTGTCAATATTATCCGGAATTCATACGACGGACTACAGTGCAATGTAGTGTATGGAGGACAGCTGACAGATGCATTCCAAGTAAGGACCGGAGTCAGACAAGGCTATTTACTCTCCCCCTTCCTTTTTCTTCTGGTGGTCGACTAGATTATGAAGACCTCAACATATGAGGGAAAACACGGCATACAATGGACAGCTCAGAACCAATTGGGCGATTTGGACTTCACAGATGACCTAGCCCTCCTATCGCATACACACGAACAAATGCAGATAAAGACAGCCAGCGTAGCGGCAGTCTCTGTATCAGTAGGCCTCAAAATACACAAAGGGAAAACCAAGGTCCTCAAACACAACACGGAGAACAGCAATCCAATCACTCTTGATGGCGAAACTCTGGAAGATGTGGAATCCTTCACATACCTGGGAAGCATCGTCGACAAACAAGGAGATTCAGATGCAGACGTAAAGGCGAGGATTGGCAAAGCAAGGACAGCATTCCTTCAATTAAAGAACATATGGAACTCAAAACAACTTTCAACCAACATCAAAGTCGGAATCTTCAATATGAATGTCAAGGCAGTTCTACTGTACGGAGCTGAAACTTGCAGAACTACTACAACCATCATTAAGAAGGTGCAAGCATTTATCAATAGTTGTCTACGCAAGATACTCAACATCCATTGGCCGGATACCATCAGCAAAAGCCTTTTGTGGGAGAGAACCAACCAGCTTCTAACTGAAGAGGAAATTAGGAAAAGCTTATGGAAATGGATAGGACATACATTACGGAAATCCCCAAACTACATTACGAGGCAAGTGCTAACTTGGAATCCTGAAGGGAAGAGGAAAAGAGGAAGGCCAAAGAAAACATTACATCGGGAAATAGAAGCAGATATGGAAACGATGAATAAGAACTGGAAAGGATTGCCCAGGACAGGGTTGGATGGAGAATGCTGATAAGCGGCCTATGCTCCTTCACGAGGAGTAACAGGCGTAAGTAAGTAAGTATTGTTATCAGAAGGGGGCTTTGTGGAGATTTTAGTAATTTCATAGTTGAATTCATGAGTCAATTAAAGTTAGACCACCATGGAAAGCCTGGAAGCACTGGACGGCCATTTCGTCCTATTGTGGGACTCTTCCTTGGCAGTGTGTATCCATGATCCCGCCCCGCAGGACTCGAATCCAAGGCCTATACTTATAATGTTTATGTGTAGGATTAATCTACTCCAGGATTTTGTAAAATAAAAACTTTATGATTGCACTTATTCTATCTAAATGTTTTCTTTTTTTATTTAACTGATATTAGGATGAAATAAAACGTCTTAATAAACGTAAAGAAGATTTGAAAGTGTTGGTCGGTGATTTACAATCAAAAATAGATGAATTACAAGAGCAAAATGAGTAATTTCTTTTATATTATAATGTGTAATATTATATGGAATACAATTAGAGATGAGTAGTAGTGAATAGATAATATTATGTAATAGTTGAAAGTTTCATTTTCATCGTCTAGTCTACTTTCTCTCTATTGTAGATGACTTATTTAATGTTTACTTATTGTTATAGTATTTAAAAGCATCTATCTTTTATTCTGTACAAGATGATTTGTGAAGATCCTACTGTGATTTTAAGCCAGACTAGTTATCACGTGATTCGTATTCGTCAATCGAAGTGTGATTTCTTCATTCTTAGTATTGTGAGAGACCAATGACATTCAATTGGTATGAGCAGCCTAGCATCCTTATTAATCTTTTGTTCGCTTAACCTGTTCAGTTGAGTTCAGAACGTTATTACCAACTTCCACCATGTGAATCATTTATTTCAAACATACCAGGCAAACAGACCGCATCACTCCATAAAAAAATAGGAAATAACATTCATACAAGATCAAGCCAAAAATTGGCTGTGAACGTGGGAGACGGTAATCAATAAACGGAACACAACTTAAGAACAGTAAATCGCATAATAATAGTCGATGGGTCAAAATGAAGCTTATAATAAGATGAATATAGATATACATTATCTAGTTACTGTATAGTTATACAATAAGAATATATAGATAACAATAGTCCATTAACAATCCTCAGAAGGTACCCGTAATTTAATCTTCATTATGATATAACACCCTTTTTTTGAAGATTCGAAGTTTAGATCCTGATTTTAAAAAATATCTGTAACTTTAAATTCTCTGACGTTATCCTCCGCCCCCTCCCCACGAAATAATATTGGATTCTCATATCACCAAGTTACAATTAATATGACTTTATTTAGAACATATTTCTCGTATTGAATAGAGAATCCAATAGAAATGATTAGATGGTGATGAACGACAACTGATTTGAGGTCATCAGGGTTTGATTCTTCTGAAACATAACAAACTCCCTGTACTGATGAGTCCCAGAATAAAAATAGTTCTCATATACTGACAGTTGAAAAGGCTGTTTTATCCCATAGAATCTAAGTTATGTATTTTTTTTTCTTAAATACAAACTTTTCTCAATCAGTGTTTTACAGCCCACACTTTGCTATTAAACCATGTACAGTCTTTAGACTATTCTTTACTTGGGAATGAAACATTTATTTCAAGCATACTGGGTTTATATACCAACCAGACAGACCAAATCGTTTCATAAAATAGGAGATAACATTTGTACAAGATCTAGCCGAAAGTGGCTGTGAGTAGGGGAGATAGTAATTGATAGACAGGGTATAACTCAAGAATGGTAAATCGTATAATAACACTTCATAGGTCAAAATAAACCTTATGTTAAGAGGAACACGAATATGAATAGTTTAGTTATTTAACAATTATACAAATAAAAGTATACGTACAGTATTGGTCCATAAATGGCTCCTAAATGTTACCATTCATTATGCTTATCGGGACATAAAAAATCTACAACATATAACTAGAATTAGTCTGCATCTCGACGACACTTTTTTAATTGAAATATTAACCAACGTAGAATAATTCATGTGAAACTAAAATATTGTAAGAATGAGCAGTGACTTGGTTGTTAAACCATCTGACCGTTAATCAACAGAACACAAGTTTAAAGGTTAGTCTAACGACTTCATTTTAGGGAATAGTATCACTAACCCTCATTCAACTAACAATGTGGCTTAAAGTCGAGTAGACAGGCCTACATACGTTAAATGAGTACCACAACAATGATAGAACAATATGAGTTTACTATTGAATTAAGGATATCAGCTCAAACTAAAATTTTAACTACATATATGTACTGCTTAGTAACAAGTTCGTTGAAAAGAGATCCCTTCGCTGAACTTCGTGTTTTTAATGTTCAAAAAGGGGAATTATATTTCAACCGGAAATAAGTGATGAACTTAAATCTGTTTAGTGGTGTTCACCATAAAAATCCGTCTGACCTTTTGACTTTATAATTTATAGGACGATAAACAAAACATACCTATCGCTAATCAACCACTCCAAGTTATTAGTTGTTCTTAGCTAATGTTGTCCAATGATAAGTCCTTTTCGACGTTTTCATCTTTCTAAATTACTCGAAAATACAGTATTTCCTTTCGGATTTTTTTAAACCATAGATCTATGTCACAGCGTTGGCGCGACCGTGCAAGTTTAATCGATAAATTAGAAAAACAAGTAGAACAAATGCGTCATAACTGGGATGAAGAACAAAAAGTTCTTATTGATGAACGAGATACAGCACGAAAAGAAATCAAGTGAGTTTACTTTACATATTTTGACTGGATTCTAGTTGGAATCATGTATTTTATCATGTAAAATACACTGCATCCCCAAAGCGAACCTACATGTACATACAGAACTGATTGAGGTTAGAAATGTAAACCAACTATCAGATGCGTTATTTAGACCAGAAAGTATACGGGAATCGGCTATGAAATTCGTCACTATGACCCTCTTGCCAGTGTTAAGAACATCGTCACAGAAGAGCACCAGGAAAGTATTTTGGCATGAAATTTAATCTAGATTCTTTTCTTTTTCATCTTCGTTTTTTCGCCAGCAAAATATACACCGGACGCTTACTTATTTGATAAATATGTTAGTTTGCCTATTATTTTAAACAATCTATTCGCATCAATGTACACATGTCATTTTACTCATGTTTTTTTACAAGCACATTACATGCACAAATGCAAGCTATGGACGAGAGATTTCGTCAACAACTATCATCTACTGAAGAAATGAACGATTTGGCAATCAATCGTGTGAAGAACGAAGCAGAACAATTACGTATAGCTTGTGAAACACGTGTAGCTGAAGTAAGTTTACTTGTTCATAAGGGAAAATTTCCAATAAGAAAATGGAAAAGTCAGATAATTTTATCGATTTATTCGTAGTTTATAATATTATTATTTAGATTATATTGTCCACTTGACTAAATTTTGTGATCCGGGAACACTTGCAGTTAACGTCTCTTCAAATTAAACAGCAGATAGAAACAACTTACTAAGTTCAAGTCTGTGTACTCGACTTTAAGCTATACTTAAGGAGTGAATGTTGATGCCATCCAGTAAGTTAGTCAGCTGCAACGTAGGACCAGGCACATATATTCATCATTAGCACAAGATGAACACCAAATTCATAGTAGTTATTTCAATGGTGGTAATATATAAAAGATTGCATATAAGGATGACATTACCTTGTTGCTTGCACCAAAGTAGGAAGTAGCATATTAAGGGAGTACTTTAATCCCCCCAAATGCCCTGGTACGGCCGAGAGTGGGGTAGGTTCGCCCCCCTCTCGAAATACTCTCACACGGCCACGCGTATATAACCTCTGCCAGGGAAGTCCTACTCACTGCCTTCTCGTGGCGGGGTGTTGTTTACGAAAATGAGAGGACGAACAACGAATGTCCGGCGCTTTAAACGGATCTCAAACCAATGGTGCACATGGGCTCCAGTATCCTAAAGTAACAAATGGCGTATGAACCAATCGTTAGTCACCGGCTACCATTGGACTGCATCTCCTTACGATGCTCCACTGCCTTGTGGATCAGACCTTTAGGTCGAAGGCTCGCGGTGTGGCCCCATAAGAAAACCACCTGCTTCGGTTTAGGCACCCGGGCAGTATCACAACCCTCACATATATCAAATGAGATTTGTGTGGCGCATATATATTTGGTGCCTCCTTGTACCAATATCTGTGTGTTAAAATAAATAAATAGAATTCAACAGTACCATAACTAATTTTCCACTCTGTATGAAAACTGACCACTTCTTATGAATTCAAGAGTAATAGCGAGTTTTTTAAATGACATATTATATGGATATAAGAGTCACCCAAAACAATATGACAGATTGGGGGAAAGAACCAGTATCAAGATTAAGTAAACTGACCGACTAAGTAACTTTACAAAAAAAAGATTCGTAAGTACAAAACCACTCGTAAGTTCTCAATTATGACCAGAGTTAAAACAAACAACTAGGAACATTTGCTTTATCAGTTAGTCAGCTTTATAGACAAAAGTCAATTTTCCAACTATGAATACTTGTAACTTACATAGCTCTGAGGAGTGGATGATCAACAAATCTCCGTAAACCTTAAGTATTTCTAGACAGGTTGATCAGATTAAACAATCATCCCTTATCCTTATAAAACCATGCAGGAATGAACTCTTGCATATAAGCTAACGGAAAATCCTGACTACGGCTATACGTAGCTCGATAGCATTTGATAGGTTTAGATGTATACAGCGGTGTTTCAAATGGAGTACATCTTTTATGGAACGTATACGGTTAATCAAAGCTTGGTTCCAGAAGGCATTCTCTTAACCAATATAGATTCATAAGTAGCTTACTTCCGATAAGATCAGAATCGATGAATATATTTATCACATTTATTTTCGAAATGAACAGATGATTTTATTTGTTAGTCAGATTATCAAGGATCTTAATACTGAACTCCAGAACACGATATTTAATTCCTCGAACATTATAATTCCTTATTTCAGTCTCTAAAAATATAATAGAACATACTGAACTAACACACATTTAGGACGGACTTCGTAATTGTAATTTTCTTCGAACATCTAGAGTCAATTAGACAGTATTTTTATTCTTAACTTCCATCCTATTTTTAATCAGGTGGAATCAGAAATGCGTGCAATTCTTCTAGAAGCAGAAAATTCAAGAAAAGCTACACAAGAAAGACTTAGATGTATATCAGCAGCGTTATGTGCTCCAATCTCACCACAACAAAATTCATTGCATTAACACTTAACTAGTGATTGTTCAAATACTGATGGAAAAAACATTGCAAACAGATTCACAAAACATTATATGAATCTCTGGCTTGAAAAAACGCTGGACTAACTGGAATCAGTTTGTTGAAACAGTACTTAAAAATCCCTTTTTGGATTGATTCATCTCTATGATCTGGTTGTGCGATTTGTTTTCTGCTATTTTTTAACAACACTATTTGTCTCATATGTAAATAACTGGAGGATAACTAAAAGTGTATATAAATATCCAGTTGATTAATTATAGACTTTGATGGGTCGGAGACCTAAGGATCATTCTTAATACAAATAACTGGTTGAGAAAACACCCAAACAAACATTGGTTGACGGAATCTCTTGTGCAGTATAAATGCTATTAGTTATGACCACTGCAGAGACTAATTTGTACTAATGCAACAGCCTTGTGCGAATACTGGAAACTCCAGTAGGTAGTTCGGAGCGTGGTTTCCGGCAGTTAAAAATAGCACAAGTTCGAAGCGCTAGCATAAGTGGGATGCGAAGGAAATCCTGGCATGGAAATATTCGTTGGCACTCAACACTTACTCCCACCCGCAGATACTGTTGATACACATGGACACGATCAAATTTAATACCGTACTACTATGCTTTATCCGGTTGTAACATGACAACTAATCTTAAGATAATTAAAATAACCCATAGTGTCATTGAATAAGAAAAAGAGAATTCAGCGACGAAATGATTTCGTCGAAAAGAAAAACTAATCTTGAGTTATTGAGCTACCGGTTAAGCAATACTCAAATTACTTGTCGTTTTATCTACTTTAAGACAAGTTGACGTCAAAGAGTAATATTAGCGAAGACGATAGAAGCACATAGTCAACAAATGCTGTGACCGCGATAAACGAAGCTGACAGAAGTAAACCGACGAAAACGCCGAGGTGTTTAAAGTACACAACAACTAAGTATGCCCCCAAATGCCCTGGTACGGCCGAGAGTGGGGAGAGTCCGCTCTCCCTCTCGAAATGCTCTCACATGGCCACGCATACATAGCCCCTGCCAGGGAAGTCCTACTCACTGCCTTCACGTGGCGGGGGTGTTGTTTACGAAAATGAGAGGACGAAAAGCGAATGTCCGGCGCTTTAAACGGATCTCAAACCAATGGTGTACATGGGCTCCAGTATCCTAAAGTAACAAATGGCGTATGAACCAATCGTTGGTCACCGGCTACCATGGGACTGCATCTCCTTACGATACTCCACTGGCTTGTGGATCAGACGTTCAGGTCAAAGGCTCGGGGTGTGGCCCTCTAAGAAAACCACCTGCTTCGGTTTGGGCACCCGAGCATTATCACAGCTCTCACACAAATCAATTGAGATTCGTGTGGCGCATATGTATTTGGTGCCTCCTTGTACCAATACCTGTTATAATAAATAAATAAAAGTATGAAATTCGGTAAACACCAGATAATATTTTAAACCTGAAAACTAGAGCGAACAAATTGTTTCCATGAATTCGCCATTAACCTCGAGTGTTAGACCCATAATTATTAGGTTACGTAGACCGGTTGTGTGAAGTCATCCAAGCCTACATCGTGTAGGGTTCCAAGCTCACTAGATTTATCAGCACAAACTTCAGGCAGACGCGCTGATGTTTTTCGGAAAAACGATGAACCTCCACGACTATACTATCCAGCTCAGAGAACAGAACTTTATCAAGATAATCCATCTGAGCTACAAATCTCCACCATCTCACTAGACTTAGTTTGAGAAGTCAAAATGAAGTTACATAAGTTTACATCAATTCTCAAAAGCATTTCTTTTAACAACATCCAATACCGCATTCGAAATGTTTTTTGTAAGTGATGGATATGCTGTAGTTCACATAGTCAATAATTATTGTCACATACCGAGATTAGTTTGCCATTGTGACTGATAATGGCCAGGACTGTTTCATACTGGCTGCATTCGGATTAAAATTCTAACAACACTATGGACAGGCCTCTATATTGCATAGCATACATCTTCGTTAGTTTAGATAATTTAACGCCTCATTGTACCATCGATACCCAGACATTTCCAGTACGAACCGAAAAGAGGTATTGATAGCAAATCATTAACTACCAACAGCCAAATACATTATCACACAACAAATAAACACCGAAATACATCCCATTCCTTATATGTTACAGCGATTTGGCACTGCGTCCATCATTATAAGCAGTATTTAAACCCCAAGAATCTTTAAGCTAGACGAAACACTCTTACATATCGCGGTTTTGTTGTCGAATATATATTAACGATTGACTTTTGTCTTCGACTACCCGCGTCACTCAAAACTGTTGGTTGGTGTGATTACATATACAATAGCCAAAAGGGATGACGAAAAGTGAATTAGCAAGCTATACCTATCAAAATAAGCCTATAAATTCTGAGTAAGCTTTTTTGAAGTGGTTACGCAGCGTAATTAGTCTACCTACCTATCTACAAAAGTACAAGGTGCCTTGACAAAATCTTATGAAAGATATCCACTCCGGCATTCATAGCATATATCGAATGTATTAACAAGAAACTTCTGGGCCAAGTTAAACAATACATTTATTCTTAGGACTGTAAAGAATTAAGAGTCCTTCTTCGATTTCTTAACTTTAGTTCCTCGGATCTTCTTGGCCTTGTTCTTTCTTTCTTTCCTTAACTTTCTTCCCTTTGGCGGAATTGTCACTAGTTTATTCTACAAAACTTCGTTTGATAATACGTTGTCTTACCCTAGCTAGACGATATTTCATTTCGAACTTCTTAGCATGATCCAGAGAATCGTACACAAGAGCAAAGCCTGTTGACTTGCCACCTCCAAACTGAGTCCGGAAACCATACGCGAAAACGACATCCGGGGAAGTTTTATAGGTCTTAGCAAGCTTTTCTCGAATTTCATTTCTTGAAAGGACACAACGTCCTGGGTGTAAAATGTCAACAACCATCTGCTTGCGACATAGCAAGCGATTAGACATAAACTTCCTCGTTCGAATCAAGGTGTTCTCACTCTGCACAAAAATAAATTAAAATTTAATTAATATCCGAAAGAATGTCATGAACGCTACGACCCAACCTACCATGTCCAACAACCACGGCTGCCAATCAAATGTGCCACCATGCAGACTTAACTATTCAAACAAGCGTGAGTTTTTGAATGAAATGTTACTTGCAACTTGTTAATCATGTCATGATTTTTACTCATAAGAACTCATTATAGCAAATATGTGATTTCGACAGGAGATTTACACAAGTAAATAACATTATGACAATTTAGTTTTTCAATGTTCAAAATCTTTACGTCGAAGAGACATGAATTAGAGTAATGGACATTATACATTCGATTCGGGTGAGTAATCGTCTTTGATTCATGGATAGCAACCTCAATTGTGCGATGCGAATAATAAATTTTCATCAAATCAAATGAATTGAGACCTGAAGGCTTGATCATTTTTGTATCGTTTATAAGATTTATAATATGACGACATTTATTTGAGACATTTTTGACCTGATATTGCGGCTCGACTCAACTCTGCTTAAACTTTTAGTTCGGATATCTGAGTCCATTGATGATTGTAATCCACATACAAAAACAAGACACTTAAATTGCGCTTCAGAAAGTAAAAGCAGCTTGGAGTTCTCGTATTGCTTATTAACAAATGCCACTTATGAAACAACATAACTTTGAGGTCTTTTAACAGTTCTAAGACAATTTTATCGCAAATCAAATAAAGAAGGATTAGTAAAAATTTCTGTTAATTTACGTACAATAAAATAAAAAGAAAAATCGTTGGGTTTTTTGTCAGTATCAGGTTCGAATACTTTTCATGTTAAGATGCTCCAAGTTTACGGTGCAGAATCCTCACCTTCGAAGAGTCATCATGAAAAGAAAACTAAACTTGGAAAATGTCCTCATACCTCATGAACCATGATTCAAATGTGACACCAGTATCAGGATCAGAAAACTGAATCATGATTTGGAGTGGATAATAATAAAGGCTGTTTTTGACTCAGTGACTCTGGAAAATTCCTCCTGTTGGTAGATTGTTCTGCTTTTGTTATATCCTTTTTCTCAAGCATTGAACCTTGCAGTCCGCAAACTTTCGAAAATGTATCACCTAAACAAATAATCTACCTGGAAGGGCATGTCGGCACGAATAACCAAGGGATTCCGGTAGTATCCGATGAACCCATGAAGTTAAATTGCCACGATACCAACTAGTGATAATGGTTATCGCAATGGCTGGTGGGTAGTGCAGTGCTATCTCGGTTAGCATATGCCAAGTGCCATTACTATATACCACATGACCACTAGCTCTCCTAATAACCAAAACTCTCATAAGTCTTGCTAATTGAACGCTATGTTCGGTTTTTAAGCTATTATCGTAACCTACAAGCTAGAACTACACAGCGACCTGAACACGAGAAAAAAGGCGCGAAATATACAGGAAACGCTTTACTACAAAGGCTCGTTCAAGTACAGAAAGTATAGGGTGTTTATAGTATTTTAGATGTCCTTGTATTTCCCAAAAATTGTGGAATGCTATTAAACATAGTACCACTATAGTAAACAGCCGATCAGAAACTCTACATATGACTTTTCACTTTTTCGATGTTTCTGGATAAACTTCTAGTGAACGCTGACTGCATAAAATGCTTCTTAGTGTTTCTTGAATTGTTCTTGTCTTTTGCGAGTTTTCTGGATCATCCCAACAATTTCCAGTGCAACAAAACCCGAAAGTCAATGGTGCAGCAGAAATGTAAACCGAAGATCAACAGGAGTGGCCTACTTCATTGAAGCAAATTCAGGAGCAGACTTTATGATGACGTCACGTGTTAGAGGCGTCATTCTCTGCGCTGGCGGTGGTTTATTCGTGAGGCTTAATTGAAGTATGTATGATAATCCGTGTCTTCTAAACAGACAGCTTTCTCATCTAAAATGTTTGCTTGTTCTGACTGTCGCCACGCCACTAATACTGTGAGCCAATGTGAAATCGATGATTGATAAGTGCATGTTATCATCCTATAAATGATCCATTTGGAAGAGATGGGATGTAGAATTATGGTCTACTATGATATTAGCACTGCTCTAATAATAGACCTAATCCTAAATATGTAGATTTATCATGATATAACTGCCTAGTCTATAAGATCTTACGTGTAAGTTACAGAATCATCTACACCAACTCATTACATTTTTGCAATAACCAAAACATGATGGTGAACAATCTTAGGCTAGAGAGGGAACAATATACTTAATATGAATAAAAGATACAAGATAACACTCAACAGGGATCACGCCTGCATAGCCGAGCCATGCCACTCGCTCAACTCGGATAATTTCAATTCATTATATTGAATATCTATTTTCCCAGTAGTCTCGTGTTCAGTTTCGAGGATGGTGTGGTTTTGGTTCAATACCACCACAGGGATTTAATATGCCGATTGATCTAATTTCTTAGAGTGGATATTTGTATGATTCAGCACATAAACAACACAATACTTTTTTCGTACTCTCCATTTCCCCTTCCGAGTTGTCAAGGTAACGTTTAAAAGGAGTGTTTCAGTGTAAATTATGGGACATCGTGTCATAAAAGTCACACATTATGCATGGCAAGTAAAAAATTCATTAGCAAAGTGTAACTGTAGATCAATAAATACCTAGCTTTTAATGCAGGCTCCTCACTAAACGAATTCATCTGTATCTTGGGCTGCTGGACACTTGATGTCATTTGGTTGACTTAAATTCACCAAGGCCGTTGATGGTGAAGCAGTCATGTCGTTCGCACTTAACCCCAGTAAGCTAAAATATGGATTCATTATTTCAAATGATAACTCAACAACTTTATTCATTGCTTTTCTCACATACTATGGCTTTCCACACTGGTTTTACTTTATTTTGCTCATCCTTGTATAAGTTCATTGATTGATGCTCATATGAGTCGTGCTACGATAGGGATGGCAAGCACTAAACTTCAGCAGAACCGAGCTTGCGATACAAGCAACTACCAACTTATGCTAAATTAAGGCATAATGGTTGATCAATAAACACCACAAACTTTATATATTCATGTACATGCATTAACTTAGTGACACCAAATCTACATGCATCACATTTTTCAGCATGAATAACAACGATGTTTTTTTGTTGACATGGTAGCATGCATTTGAACTAGTGTAATTATTCAAATTCTGTTTAATTTGGTGTATTTTACTCATGATAAGCTGTGCAGCTCTAAACGATAAACTAAACAATTAGTGACTGACTATTTTCTGCGTCACAAATACAAATCAGACCATGTTACCCGCTATAAAATTCTGGCTTACCATACTTATTGTGAGAGAAATGCGAAGACGTAAACTATTCAAAACACATGGAGCAGCGCCGCGTATTTTCGGCACATCAAGAACGCGTCTGATCCAACACTGAACGCGTTTCGTACCAAGATCATTGACATAAGTAAGGAGTGAAACTCTTGACATCTTATGTTCTTTTCGATATTTTCTACTTCGGTCATCGAAAAAATATTCAGCACTCACTGTTCATCGTTCTACAGAAACAGTTTAATCGTTGGTGAGTATTGTAGGGCCATTAGAATTTCACTTGACCCTAATCAGTTCATCTGGCGGTTCACTGATCCTCTTTAGGTTCAAGGGTGACTAGCACGCATCAATCATTTGCGCAACCTGAACTTGCCCATGAGGTGACAGTTCCATTCTTACCAATAAATTTCAGTAAAATTGTCAATTCCGCTGTAGCCATAATAGCTGGATATGACAGAAGAGTAGTCCAAGTTACTTTTGACGTAATATAGGAGGTCACACAAACCCCATTCAATTTGGATTGGACCCCAATCAAGGACACTGATTGTCTACATTGGTTGTCTGTATGATAACTTGCAACAAAAGTGAAAAGTACAGCAAAAAAAGTACAAATTTCAGGTGGATATCTCAAGTCCGCTTGCAAGATTTTTGTAAAGTTGCTCAAAAGTACCTGTACGTACACAATCCATTAGTGTAATCCGTTGCCTCATATCTAAATGCAAAGTTATTCTTCATAATGCCCTAACATCTAAGGTTGATTGGTTAAGGGCTGACAGAAAACGTCTGAGTAGCGTCGAAACGTTATGGCTCAATTATTCATTTACCTCCTTAATTTGTGTATGAATCATATTTTCTATTATTTATATTGGATGATGGAAACTTTGAGGGTTTGATAAACATAATTTTGTGCTGCAACCGTTCTATTCGACTATCTGAATAAAGAACTATTCGAGCACCAGTCTGGTTTCTTCTATAGGTAAAACTAATGGTATCTGCGTTATAGAAATCTCCTCTGACGTATGTGAAAATAGCAAGTTCAATACAGCCTTCCTTCGAGATACTGACAAACTCAATGAATTCAAGATAGCTCTCAACAACAGGTTCCAAGCCTTACAGGAACTGGTAATAACCTTGTGTCTTTTATCAACTCATCTACTTAATATAACACAGATTTCATCATTGACTTTGTTTAATATTTGTTGGTTGAAAAACCGCGTGATTTGACAAGTTTACAACTTTACCCGAATGTTGTCCTTACTTTATTAATCTTTGCCTCTACATCTGCATCGGGTCCTCCTTGTACATCGGTGATGCTCTCGAGGAACGTGAAAGTTTACACTTCTTCCAGAGTTTCTCTATCGAATGTGACTTCATTGATGTTCTCTGTGTTGTATTTGAGCATCTTGCTTTTTCGTTTATGTGTGCTGAGACCTACTGCTGAAGAGGCTGCTACTAGATTGGTTGTTTTGACCAACATTGGTTTGTGTGCATAGGATAGAAGGGCCAGGTCATCTGCGAATTCCAAATCGTCTGGTTGATCCAATCTGTCCATTTTATTTTATAATTCTCTTGAGATGTGAAGGTTTTCATAATTCAGTCAGCCACCGGAAGAAAAAAAGAGGAAGAGCAAGCGGCCCTGTCTGACTCCGACCCTTACATGGAATGTGCCTGTCAGATGTCTGTCATTCACGATTTACCAGTGCAGCCCGTCGCATGAATTCCGTATGATGTTGACGATTTTCTCAGGTACTCTATAGTG